TACACCGTCTGATAACCCACTATACCGTCTGATAACCCACTATACCTTCTGATAATCAGCTTTACCGTCTGATAACCTACTATACCGTCTGATAACCCACTATACCGTATGATTACCTTCTACACCGACTGATAACCTACTATACCGTCTGATAACCCACTATACCGTCTGGTAACACACTGTGACTTCTGATAACCCACTATACCTTCTGATAACCTTCTATACCCTTTGATAACCCACTATACCGTCTGATAACCCACTATACCGTCTGATAACCCACTATACCGTCTGATAACCCACTATACCATCTGATAACCCACTATACCGTCTGATAACCCACTATACCATCTGAAAACCCACTATGCCATCTGAAAATCCACTATACCGTCTGATAACCCACTATACCGTTATACCGTCTGATAACACACTATTCCGTCTGATAACTTACTATAACGTCTGATAACCCACTATACCGTCTGATAACTCACTATACCGTCTGATTACCCACTCTACCCTCTGTAAACCTACTATACCATCTGATAACCCACTACAGCTGTTAGCTATACCCACTATAGCTGTTACATTCGCATGGGAATTTGGCAAACCCACTCTATGGAACTGTGTGTCTGACCATCTGGCATACCAGCAGGTCAAAGATGGAGCTGGAGTATACAGCTTGATAACAAAGCTGGATTACTGGGGGAAGCCCAACCTAAATGATTATGACAGGGTTTTTGGACAGTTCTGCAATGATTTTAAAAGAAAGGGCTACAAATATCTCTACTGCTCTCCCATGGGGTGTATAAGAGATAGAGTAAAAGTAGAACATTTTATAAAAAATGTCATCAAATTCCAAGTGGAGACTAAGGCCCAGATTAAAATTGTTGCATACAACCAAAGATCAGCACGTGTTTTGCGGAACGGCCTGGATCACAACACCTTCATAAAGGAAATGGAGAGGTGCTTGGAGACCTTTTCTTATCTCCAGAGGGAAGAAGATCCACTAACACCAATAGCACCAGGAGAACAAACTTATGCAGATGTTGTTAGCCGCTCTTCACCAGTGAGTCCACATCACCCACCGCTGATTAATCCAGTGAGCAGAGAGCAGATGCCGACATCAGACGTCCCTCTTCGCCTCTCTATGAGTACCACCACTGACCACGGGAGCCTTCACCTACCAGTTACTCCGGAGTCTGACCGGTCATTTGGTGTCATTAGTGGTGAAAAAAGTCAATCTAGTGTGAAAGTGAGTGGCAATGAAGATGATCGGGCAACCAAGGGTAAAGAAAGATAGTAGCTTAAGTCATAGTTTTTTAGAAAAACGGTCTCAAGTCAATATCATAGTGTAGCTTCTGGGCAATGGTATACTCCTACTCGATTGAATCTTCTTCAGGTAAATATTCAATGTTTGAGAAATAAGTTACTTGAACTTGAAAGCTTCTGTGAGGAAAATAAAATAGACATAATATGTCTCTCAGAACATTGGCTTACTTCTGAGGAATTACAGGTTTTTACACCACATGGTTACGTTCCCGGTAGTTTTTTTATTAGAAAGAATTTCAAAAACGGAGGTGCAGGAATTTTTGTTAGAGAGGGGATTGAATTCTGTAAATTTGATATGAGTAAATTTAGTTCAGAAATAGACATAGAAATTAGCTGTGTTAAAATAATTAAAGACAATTTGTATGTTATATCATTGTACAGGTCACCTCGTGGCAACATAGATATATTTTTTGAGAAACTTGAATTAGCCGTGAAGAAGGTTTTATCGAGGGGGACCAAAGTTATCGTCTGCGGAGATTTTAACATAGAAATGATAACAACTGATAACAACAACTCAATTTTGTTTTTGAACTTATTAAGATCAATTAATTTATACTGTACTTATTCCTCACCCACTAGAAACAATGCCTGTTTGGACAACATTTTAGTTAACTTCTCCCAAGATCTGTATGAAGTTACCTCAGCTGAGGGTCACTTTGCGGACCATACTCCACTCCTTTTCACTTTAAAATCTAATATTTCATATACCAATAAAAACTGTAAAACATCACAACAAACTTCTTATTACCGATCAAAGAATAATAATGTTATCCAGCTATTTACCAATGAATTAATAAAAGAGAAGTGGAGTATGGTCGAAGAGCACAAAAACGGCAAGATAAATGTTAATACACTGTTTGATAGCTTCTTTAAAAGATATGTAGACCTTTGGCATAAAAGCAAACCTACAACTAGTAAAAACAAAGTTAACTGGTATACCAATGAGTTAAGAGTTGAAAGAGACAAAATGCTGACTTTATTTCATATTTACAAAGATTTGTCAAGGAGTGGCCTTTTAGCAGACCCAATTGGCTTATAACGCTTATCTCACATGTAAAAGAAATTATAGAAAAAACTTAAAACTAACTAAAAAAATAGCTTGTGAGAAATACATTGATAGTGCAAGAAACAAATGCAAAGCTGCTTGGGAGGTCATATCCCAAGAAAGCTGCAAAAGTTCCACCAAAGTCATCCCTCTTGACCCTGAGTGTGTAAATCAATACTTTATAGAATCTGTCAATGAACTGGTGAAAGGCATTCCTGACACTAATGTCAGTATCTGTGATTTAATGGGTACAAGACCTATAGCTCCTAACTCCTTTCACTGGACAATTGTAAATCTGGTTGAAGTTTCGAAAATTGTTTCAAGCCTATCAAATTCAAAAAGCACTGATTTTTATTGGATATCCAACTATTTACTGAAACAGACAATAAATATAATTAAGGAACCACTTGCTTATATAATAAGTAGATGTTTAGAATCTGGCTATTTTTCAAATATGTTAAAATTGTCTAAAATTACACCGGTTTATAAGAAAGGAGACAGAAATCTTCCACAAAATTATCGTCCTATATCCGTTATTCCAATTTTTTCAAAATTATTTGAAACTGTTATGTACAATCAACTTAGCAACTATTTTGAAATAAACAGACTATTTTCTGAGTCCCAATTTGGTTTTAGACCCGGACATTCTACGATTTCTGCAGTAATGAAAATTGTCAGTAAAGCACTACATGCCTTTGAAAATAAAGAATCAGCCTTCCTATCCCTATTAGATTTAACTAAGGCATTTGATTGTGTACCGCCTATCAATATCCTTACTAAACTCAACTTTTATGGTGTTTCTGGCGACTCCTTGAAATTAATTTAATCATACTTAATGAACCGTAAGCAATATGTAAATATTATGGGTGCTCACTCATCATTGTGTGATGTCTCCTTGGGAGTGCCGCAGGGCTCAGTTCTCGGACCATTTCTCTTTATTGTAATAATAAATGATCTTCCCAAAAATGTAAGTGTAAATTCTATTATCTATGCAGATGATTCCACGTTTTTTACTTGTAATAAAAACCTTGACCTCTTGGAGGCCAGAATAACCTCAGCTCAAAACCAAGCACAAGAATGGTTCTCAGCTAACAAACTGCTGTGTAATGAGACTAAAACTCAGAATATTTTGCTCAGTCTTTCACAAAATCAAAACTATCAATCAAAATCAATCATCGATCTAAATCAATCTGTAAAACTGCTGGGAATTCACATCGACTCAAAGCTCACATGGAATGACCATGTTGTAAATTTGTGTAAAAAACTCTCAAGGGTCAATTGTTTGTTTTGGAAACTGAGCTCCATAATCTCTACTGACTATCTGAGGACTGCCTATTTCGGACTCTTTCAGTCTCATATTGCTTATGGTCTCATACTTTGGGAACACTCTGCAAATGTCTCAGATGCCCTGATTCTTCAAAAAAAAATAATTAGAACCATTTGTCAAGCCAGGCCTGGAGATCATAGTAGATGTCTTTTCAAACAATTGAAGATTCCTACAATTATTAACTTGTATATTTATCATGTATTAATATTCACAAAAACAAATCTAAATTCTTTTTTTATTAGACGTGAGGTACACAATCACAATACCAGGAATAAAAACAAACTTGAAATCCCGCAACATAGGTTAACAAAGTTTGGAAATTCTTACATGGTAAATTGTGTTAAATTTTTTAATAAGCTTCCCGATAATGCTCACACCACTCCACTTAAAGGCTTCAAAACCAAGATGTATCAATGGCTTCTAGACAATCCATTCTTTACTATTAATGAGTTTATGGCCACCAACATAGATAATATATTTTAAGTTTTCAAATTAATGATAAGCATTAACTTTTGTTTGTTTGGATGAGGTTTACCAATTTTATTAATTTAATGTTTATGAAGCTGTTGTTAGGGTACTAGGCTGGAGTTGCAACTTTAGTTTTAATTTAAATATATTTAGATATTATTTATGATTATTATCGATATTATTGATATTATTTGATGTTATTGACTGTATATATTTATGTTGACCATGCCCATCTCATGTAAAAATGATCAACGGCAATAAATATCTTATGTCTTATGTCTTATGTCTTACACCGTCTGATAACCCACTATACCGTCTGATAACCCACTATACCTTCTGATAATCAGCTTTACCGTCTGATAACCTACTATACCGTCTGATAACCCACTATACCGTATGATTACCTTCTACACCGACTGATAACCTACTATACCGTCTGATAACCCACTATACCGTCTGGTAACACACTGTGACTTCTGATAACCCACTATACCTTCTGATAACCTTCTATACCATTTGATAACCCACTATACCATCCGATAACCCACTATACCGTCTGATAACCCACTATACCGTCTGATAATCCACTCTACCCTCTGTAAACCTACTACACCATCTGATAACCCACTACACCATCTGATAACTAACTATAACGTATGATAACCCACTATACCGTCTGATAAACCACCGTACCATCTGATATCCTACTACAACGTCTGATAACTCACTGCACTGTTGTTTTTTGAGGAAAAATGATTGTTTTTTTATCAACTATACTCCTTTCATTACTAAAGTTTACAAGATGGGATATATGAAAAGTATTTATCAAAAAACTTACCACATGTTACATACAACATTAAATTCTGACTGTAGGGGAACAGTGTCAGTATGTCCTTCAATGCTGACTTCAAAGATCTGATCTTTTCCTGGAATTACCGTAACTTTCAGGCTGACTTCTTTGTATCTTGAATGATTACTAGTAACCTGAAATTTAAAAAAAGGTAACTCTGGTTCGGTGCCTAAACATAATGATGCCATGACATATTTTTTTCTGTTTTTATACTATTTTAAGCAGACTATTTATACTCATTTTTTAACTCATTTTTTTTAAACTGAGACAACTCAACCTATGGCTTGAAATCATCCCTCATAGATTTGCTTGGTAATGCAGTATTGTATTTTGAAGTAAAAATAGAAGTAGGTATAAATACCCCCGCCACAGCAAACCTGCAGACTAAGCGAATTTCAATTTGTCTGATTACATTTTTACTAAAATATTTCCATAAATAAGACATATTTATTCCCAATTTAAATAACAATAGATTTAACGAGTGCTTAGGTTTGCTGCTACGGGGAAGGTAAAACGTGTTTTTGACCAGATGTCAATAGTATAAGAATTTGCCAAATTTTATCAACATATATCCATAAACAAGTAAACTGCAACAGTTTTCATTTTCTCCATATAAATAACATGGGCATTTTAAATTTACACTTTTTTTGTATTTTCTCCGTAACCATTAGGCATACAACTAATATACTAAATTATTTCTTTTTTTAAGCTCTACAAAATGGTTGGGAAAGAAATTACAAAGATTTTTGTTTTTAGGGTAAAACCCCCCATAAACCCCCGTTCCCATGGTCCCATCATGCTGGTTCGGGAACTCGTTCGAATAAATGTAGGTTTACACGTTTATATAAAATTTCATCAAAATCGGATCATTTTTGTCCGAGCCATTGTGCTAACAGACACATATTTAAAGTAATGTGAAATAATAAAACAAAGCGAAATAATGAAAACCAGAGTACTCTGAAATTCATTTTTATTTAAACTGATATATATTTCGGCACTAAGGCCATGATCACAGTATGAGTTATATATAATTAATTAATAACCTTATTATATGAATTATATAATGATAATAATAAATAATAATTAATAATTAATTCGCTTATTAATTGAAAAAGTAGCCCTAAAAAGTGAACAGAACTATAAAAAAAATTAAATAAATAAATATATATATATATGAATTTGAACTGATTGTGTTTTTGGCCTCAAAAGAAAAATGGGAAGCTCAAAATGAAAAAGTAAATCGGTGTGTCACTTAGCTCACTAGTGCACAAATACCAGTAACCATTTTTGTTATCTCTGGAGCTTTTTCGATAAAATTGCCAGGAATCCTAAACACTCACTATGGTAAAAACGCAGCACAACTAGCTTAAAAAGCATAGTCCTGTTTACAAATAGATTGTTAAATGGTGCAAATAGGGGATTTACTTTATGAAAATAGATAGTAAAGAAACAATATTATGCTTAGGCAAATGGAGAACTGATCGAGAGATATGAAAAGTAAAGTTAGAGCAATAACCCAATTGATTGTTTTCCCTTGTTAACCCCTTTTTTCCCAAATTACTGATCAATTATTGTCTTTGATACCAGCTGTCATAAGAAATAGCTACTTTTTGTATAGAGTGGTGAAGATAACATTTATATAACGTATTATTAGGTTAATGATTAATACATACAACAATGTTCCAGTTCTCTTCGCTTAGTCTAGAAGTGATCTCAGAGTGGATGCTGACGACCGTGTTCTCGCTGTGGATGTCAGATAGGAGGTCGTAACCTACAGCTCCGTGGACCCGCTTCTTCCGCAGATCAACAGTCATAGTCAGCAGAACCTTCCTGTCAATCTGGGATCGCCTGTTGTCCATCATCCGTACATACATCTGAACAACATGTGTGTTAAAAAATTTCCATCCACTCATTATAAGAATTTAAACACCTTGTTGGAAATAAAACTGTCTAAATACTTATACAGAAAAGTAATATTTTGTTGAACTAATAAATAGTGAAATGCCTTACAAACAAGGGAACACCTTGTGATGATGTTATCTCCAAGTCCATGCGAACTGTTTGATCCAAACTGACCACTGAGTCCAACACCAAGCGCTTGTCTTGCCGTCTTAGTGTGCCATCCATTACAAGTTCTCTGCAACATACATACAGGTGCATTAGCTATTTAAATATTTTATTTTAATAATCATGATGGGAATACAGATTTTTCACCTCCTCAACCTGTGAGGCAGAATTTTGTTAATTTATATAAACTTACTATTTCCTTGCAACACAGAGGTGTGCTTTTTTAAAAGGTGAAAGCAAATTATGTTGACCAATATCTAAACTGTCACTATTTATTTGTATTTGTAGTAAATAAAGAGTATCTCTGTATTATATTTCCTAGTAAAAAATAAAATCAAAATAATAATTTGTAGTACATGTATTCAAATAAATAGTATATATTACGTAGGTGTTTACCAGATGAGTGTGGCCATTCTTGTGCGAGACACAGTCGAGTACGGGATTATCATACGAGTCCGGTACACACATTTTGGACGAGTGACGTACGATATTTTACGCCATACTACTTTAAGGTTACTTAATTATAAAAAACCTGTACAAATCCTTATATATTCCCACCGCCTAATGGACCAACAATAACTACTCATAACCTCCACTAAGAGGCTTGTGTTTTTGATTATAACCACTCACTATTGCAATTAAGGATTGCATTCACATTGAGAGTCAAAAGAGCTTTATAATAATAATAATATAATACTTTTATTGTCGTAAAAAAGTTAGCATTGACAGTCATAAAATACAGTAATTGCCATAAAATATAATATTGTATCAAAAAACAGATTGAAAGTAAGTGAAGTCGGCTGTTTAAATATAATTTAGATCTATACAATGTGTTAGTTAAGTTATAAGACAAATTACCCTTGAAAGCTTAGAACTTATGTAATCGATATGAGGTCCCCAAGAAAGGGTCTTATCCAGATAAATACCAAGAAATTTAACATTGTCTACATAACCATCCAACATTTTTATTTCACACTGTCTGAGGCTAAAATAGTTTTTGAGTTTTGTCTTTGCTTAAGAGGGAGCCATTAGATTCAAACCAAGTAGAGGCTTCATTAATTGAGTTTTGAGCTATCACTCTTGAAGTTGTTTAAGATCGGGATTAATATTTAAAAAAATATAAAAATATTATTTTTAACTTCAGATGCTTATATGAGAACTCTGCCTAAAAAAAACTTGCTAAATGAGTTCTTAAGGCTTATTCAGATTAAAAACTTCCCATCCTATTGATGTACATGAATCAAAGTGTTGGATTATTGAGGATTAATAGTAAAATAGCTTCTCGCTGATGAGGTGTGATTTTGAAATAAATAATTCAATCATAAACAGTTTTATGGTCATGATTCGACAGGATAATATTAAAGAAATAATAAATAGGTTTGAGAATAGTTATTATTAAATATTTATAACAAATGTTTTATACAGAACTACACTTTTCACAAGGAAATATTATTTCTGAAATATATTAAAAATGAAATTTTACTTTTGGCCTATCTAAAAATTAAAAGAATCCACCATTGAGTTATTTAGATCTAAATTGAAATCTATCTTTAGGACCTGTTGTAATTTTTAAAGTTTTTTTCCCAATGAAATAAAATTTTAAATTTATATTAAATTAACTTTTAAGTAAATCACTGAGTTTACATACCTGAACCGATCAAAGGATGACTCTATCACTACGTGAATTTTCTCCATGTGTACTTTTCCAGTTAATTTAATTTCAGCGTAGTAAGAATTTTTGAAAAATATTTCCAAGTTGTAATCTTTATTTGCTGGTTGTGAAGAGTAGAGGAAGTCAACTAAATTGTTTAATTTCTCGTAAGGTGTCACAATGTTGCCAGATAATTTGATGTACTCCTTTCCACCAAAGTGCCAAGTTGCGCTGATTTTGAAGTTTTCTCCTTCTCCCTAAGAAAAAACTATATTACCGATCAACACAATCTACGATATTAAAAACTACGTATTTTGGGCAATGTTCATTTCACCATTTATTCTCTATGTTGTGTTACAGAATTAAATAACAGGAAATTTGTAAATTATTGCCTTTACCTTCTGAAATCCCTAAAACAAAAAACATTATACTTTTTTCATGAAAATGTCACAGCAAAAAATTGAAGAAAGTTGAGTAAGAATTGACATTTTTATGGCTTTCAAAAAGTAATAGAGCATGTGTAGTTGGACATATGGAACATTTTACTATTAATTTGATAAAATATTTAGTTAAAGAAATAGTATTCAAGTAAAATTAAGTTTAATGTATAAATGATCAAGTACATTTTCTATCAAAAGTCAAAATTAATATGATCAGTAAATAATTTCCAGAATCAGAAAAAAACCATATAAAAAATGTATACTTACTTTCTTATTGGGGTATTTCAAAACGACAAGTATTGACTTTTCAACGGTAGAGAAATCTTTGGTAAAAGATATATGGCAAAAAGGCAGTGCAAATGATGGAGATACTACTCTGAAATCTATTGTCAGGCCAAAATAATTTTCATCCAGCTGTGAACAAAGAAACAACATTGTCAAAGTATAATCCAGTCAGGTTGTTTATCAATACTTGCCTTACATAGTTCTTCAAAATAATTCGAACCCCCTTATCTACAACACCTAATGGAGGAAATGGTTACTGTATTTACACTAAAAACATGTCCGTTTAATCTGATATACTAAAACTATAATATACAGCACAGTATTAACTTTTATATCACATACAATAATATTTAATTGTACTCTGTAAAAGCAAAGTAGGTCTAATGTTTCATACTGAATTGTTATTAACAATGATAATACTTTCAGAATCTTAAGAATTCAGTTATCAGATTTTGAAGTAGAGTAAATGAGGGTATCGTATTTGAAGTTGCAGCATTGTAAACAATTCTTGCGTTCTGACTCTTAATTATCGTGTTTTCAGCATTGTTTGGACTTGTTTTACCATTTTGACAAGAGTACTGTACTGTGATGCCAAATATATTTTGATAAAATGATAACGAATACAGCAAGAAGCCTTCCTACATGTGGCAAAAGATTTTCAATAGCCTGCCCAACCACTTAGGTCTTAAGAAATCAAGACCTGGAGAGTATATAGAGGAAATTATGGATCAACCATTCTACTCACTAAAGACATTCTTCGATCTAAATTGTCAATTAAGATAAAAATCCAGATTACAATCTGTATGACACTTTCATTTCTAAAGAAACCACAATCAATAAATTGAGTGACTGATTGACAAACAGGCTATGTATCGTCAGATAAAACCTTTTCAGGGCTACTATATATGAATTATATATGTTTCTAAGAAACATGTATATGGCCATGACGGCAGTGGTGGATCCAGGGGGGGGGGCCAAAGGGGGAAATTGCTGTTTTTTTTTTAACTTACCGGACCAAAAAATATAAAAAAGAAGTACACAACAAACTTTTCCATGTCATATTTCAAGCTCATATAAAATTATAGACTTTTTTGAATATTTAAAATAGAAAATATTAGATTTTAAGCTTTTAAGTAGAACATTACCTTTACTCTAAGTAGGATATAGATGCAGAGTTATTTGAAAGCAGAGAATTGAGTCTTTGCGCCATTATCACAACGTTTAGTGGTGTGTCTTGCCTACCACAAACTGGCCGACTGATCTTTAGTTGTTACAACGTTAGTTGGATAGGTATGCTCCATCTATTGGTTTATGTGATCATTGGATGCTACACACCCACATTTAAATTAACATTTCTAGGGATACGTTTCATATCTTTAGGAATTATTGTATATATCTGTAGTAGTGAGTTGTCAAACGTATAAGGATAGGGAAGATTATCAGCTGATGCGCTCTAGGCATGGTTACTAACAACTATCTTTCTGTAAAGAGGCAAGCTCATACATATATTAAAAATGTACAATAGAAGGCATTCAACTTTAGATTGTTACCTCCAAAGATCCATCCATATTTATTCTGTTGTCGAGAACATCAATGGTCATGTTTGAAGAGAAAAAGTATTTTTCTGTTTGAAGGTTGAAGTCAAAGTAGCAATGGTCCAGAGCTTCAAACGGTGTTGTGAGACGATAGGTCACGCTGTAGATTCCTTCATTCTCCATGTTTCCCACTGGTTGAAAGTTATATTGACCCTCCATGTCAAACTACATTGCAACAAAAATACAAGAATTCATATTTCCTTTCCTATGAAATAGATTATTTTACTATATTGTATGTGCTCAGATAAAATGACCAGTAAAGCAAACTGGCTGCTTACAAAGAATCTAGTAGAATGAAGAAAATATCTAAACCTAGTGCAGTGCAAACAAAATGAAACAGCTGATTAAATGCTAAAAATTATTTTACTTTATATAGAGCTATCAAAAAAGTAAACAAAACTAAGAACAGCATTTTTATGACAAAATTTTGAGCCTAAAATAACCTTTTCTAATTTTTCATCAATTATAAATTTATCGAACTGATTGATATGCTTGAGTTTTTGTATTGATCATGCTTGATTTTGGTTCTGTGGGTTTTTTAAAGCTTAAGTATGAATTTAAAATATGTGTTAATGACAATCATTTAAATGAATTATTTAACTGACCACTGTTGACAAACTTGGGTTTATTTTGACATTTTTGTATACTTCTGGCTAACATCTTGGATAGACGGTTTTGCAGTGAAGTGTAATTATTTTGCATTAGATTCAAGGCAATTATTTTGCTTTACTCATAACATTAAAAGTTTTTCAAAAGTGTTATAGCTAGTTAAAATTTTTTTCATAAGTTTACCTTGTAAGTGTTATTGTTTGTGACAGCTTTTAGGTCTAGGCTGGCAACAGTCATGACTGGCCAAACTCCACTCAGATCGAACTTAGATCCCATTTCAGACAGCAGAGGATGATTAGAAGTCACTCTGAGTTCATTTGCCATCGATAATTTGTGCTGAAATTAAATAATAAAAAAAATCATGAGAGTAATAAAAATATTTGAAAAACATTTGTACAGAAACAACTAAGATGTACAAATGCCCCAGCATTAGATGTAAGTTATGTGATGGAGTGTGTATTTTATAATAATATTGATCCCAAATATCCAAGGGGAAAGTTTTTTAATTTATAATACATTATTAAAAAATAAACTTTGAGAAGTAAGGTAGGGGAGGGTGGGCCACAGTGGAACAACTATATATTTTTTGTATTTGGCTAGTCCCCCAACTGCTGCACTCTGTGAGTGAACTCCAAAACTGTTTGTCCACCCATAGTTCATTGGTGCAAATTTCTGCCTCCATGTAAGGAAGAGATATTATTCATATTATGATTTTGACATTTTGAAGTAATTTTTCCACGTTATTTCTTTACAACTTTAACTTCTATTTGCAGTTATTAGAGAAGTGTCACATGCCAGTATAAAGAACAATTCTTTCTAAAACTTTTAGACTAGTTAACATATTTGTACAAAGTTCTGAAGTGGAATTAGGGTTAGTTTTTCTGATCAAACAGACATGGGCCACAATGGAACTGTGACCCACCATAATGTGTTTCATTGTAACAAAAAATATGACCTATTATATGGTATTCATTTATTAGTTTAAAACCCAATTATGGGTTTTTCCCATTAAATTATCCTTTTTGGAAATTTATCAATAGCCAAAGTCTTGAAATGGCTGTTCTTTTACAGACCAATATGTCAGGAGGAAGAAAGTGAATTTTTACTTGCTTACTGTAAACTAATTACGAGTAGAACCATTTGAAAATGTTAGTTTTTACATGTATACTTTTTGAGGTGAATAAACAAGATTTATTGTACGGTATTTTTGGATTTTAATTCATTGTTCATTGTAGTGGAACACCTACATAGGTTTTGTAAAACAGCCCATAAAAATCAGTTTCCATTTCATTATCAATTTTAAAATATATATAATGGTATTTGGGAAAGGTTGTTCTCTAAGTACATTTATCTTCTGAAGCTGTTAACCAAACACGTAAAAAAAATTTTACGTAATTTACGTAAATGTAACTTTTGTAATTTTTGTTCCATTGTGGCCCACCCTCCCCTACAGAGGAAACATGCTTATGGGATGACTGTGCGCATTCCTGGTATTTTATGCCGGAAATATACTTGTGACAAGCAAGGAAGAGCCTGAATGGCGAGCAATGTGCGGAAATTCCTATCGCACAGGGTCTTCCTCCACCATGTGTGTTGTAGAGTTATACAATCAACGACAATAAAGATCTCTGGTGGCAGGCACTAGCCAGACCTCAAATGTGAATTGATGATGTTAATTATTATGTTAAATTGGCTCCAATCCAAACCAAACTGATACAAAACATTTGAAATAAAATATATACTTACAGTAAATGAAAACAAGTCTTGAACACAGATATCTATTATGTTGAGCTGTAACTTGACTGTGGCTGAGTAGAAATTGAGGTTATAGTTGAGAACCTCAATCTGTCCTGATGCTGTTGGATAGTAAAGTGTGTCGAGTTGAAACAAAGCCTGCCACAGAGTGGATACATTCTTGTGATTTACACTGATTTCTGACACACAGAAATCAGAATCACTTAACCTCAAGTCCTCTTCTTGTCTAAACATGCTTACTGCTTTAAGGCCAACCTAAGCAAAAAAAAAACACAAAAAAAAATCAATGAATGAGAGTACCATTCACTGTACCGTACAGTGTTAATATTTAACACCTACTGATAAATTTGTAAATAAAAGAAGAATGTATTGTTTGTTTAGTATTGACAAATCCATGGACTCTGTGACAAAATTCTAGTAATGAATGAAAAACAAGAATACTTTACTTTGAAATAGGTAACCCTTAAAATTATAGAATAAAACATTAACAAGTTACTTTTTGGAAACTCAAAGAGAATTGATTATTTATACTGGAGTAAAATTGAAGATGTCTAAGCAGTGAGAATATAAACACCTTTATGTTTGTTTTTATACCTCAATATTATTAATATGATTGCCCATATTTTGGTGCCAGAACACAGGACTTTAAACCAATAACAAATATTTGGCATTTAAGCTCTTAGTTATCAGGACATTTCATTGGAATACCTTATACACCAATAGCTTATTACTTATCTAATTCTATTTGTATGTTCAACTCTACATTACCTTAGCTTTTGCCACAGCAGCTGCTACCTCCAAATGGAATTTGTCTGTAAACAAAAACTTAGCGACTGCTCCACTTTCACGGAACCCTTCAAACGGCATAAATAACGAGCCTCTGTATTCCAGATCATACCAATCCTGGTAGTGTGATCGAGCGGTAAGGCCAACCAAAACAGAGTTCCATCCTCCTCTAAAGTCAACCTAGACAATATGTTCTGTAATTGTTAAAATACAAATCTATGTATCCTAATACTTAACATGTAATATATTTTCTCATCCATCAAAAAAGAAATATGTAGCTATTAATATTTTATGAAAACCTTAATAAATATGTTGAATACTTGTGTAGCTACTAGCTATATACTAACATCTTAAAACTGCAACCACAGCGAATCCTGTGCAGTTAGATGCTCGGTATCCTATTGTTTTAGATTGCTGCTATCTTAACCAAATACCAAACATCAACAGAACAAGATTTTTTGAAATCAAATACCACAACAGCACTCCTGGAAAACCTCTACCAACAAAAAATGAAAACTATACTAGCAACATAGAAAATGAGATGAACCTATCAGTTTTCAAAGACCTTAATAGTTTTTCTGTTGACAAAGAAAAATATGAGTCAGATTCCACTGGAACGTTAATAATAAAAGCCAAAATTAGTAGAAAAAAACCTGTTCTTTTATATTTCTATACGAGCCACGGCTCGGTCCCCCGGTACTTTAACTTAAACAGGTAAATAGTGTAACCATTTTAAAAAATATATTGACCTGGCTCCCTGGCTGTGAATCATTTCCAGTTAAGCGTGGGAAACAGAGAAGGTTAACTTTGAGTAAATAATGCTTGTAATAGGCCTGGCTCTATCTTTTTACTTTTAATGTAAAATTATTAGCAGATACAAATTCCATAGTATGGGTCAAAAGTTCATAGTATGGTATTTACAGCAAATATTGCAAATACATGGAAACATTTGATTAAATGTTAGAAAACATACATTGCAACAAACTACATTGCAACAAAAATACAAGAATTCATATTTCCTTTCCTATGAAATAGATTATTTTACTATATTGTATGTGCTCAGATAAAACTGAGTTACATCACAAGAAATTTTGTGAACACAGGAAACCACAAAAGCCAAAGTTTTTTTCATTTTTTGAAAATCCCATAACAAATTAATTATGGGCTTCTAATAAAAACAATAACTTTTTTTAAGGTCTGAATAAAATTTTAATTTAAAATAGGCATATAAATTTTTAATCCTTTGATGTACCTAATTTATGTATATGAGATGCCAGATGCTATACAATTCTGTAGAACCTTTATGTACGCAGATGATACAGCCCTAGCCATATCCGATAAAAATATAAACGTGGCAAAAACTAAGATTGAAGCAGATTTTTTGAAGCTGACAATGTGGTGCCATGACAATGGATTGATTATAAATGGCAGTAAATCAAAGATTATGCATATTCATTCACCTTCGTACCAATGCACAGAGCTAGCAGTAAAATTTCATTCACACGATTGTCTGCATCGGAAGAGCTATGAAAACATGTGTCAGTGTATGAATTTGGAGTATGTTTTAAGTTATAAATATCTGGGAATCATAATTGACCATAACATGAAATGGGACTTGCACTTGAAACAACTAACTGATAAATTAAGATTATGCTTATTTAAGTTTTACCATATAAGACAATACCTGCCACTAAAAACAATGAAATTGATTTACTCAAGTCTGTGTGAATCATTGCTTAGATATGGTGTAAGGTCATGGGGAGCAGCATCAAACACAGCCATTATGCAACTAAAAACCGTGCAAAGCAGGATAATCAAAACAATGACTAAGCTTGATTCTGCTGATCTGGTTGAAAATCCCATGCTAGGTTATCAATTGGTCAACGTTTTGCCAGTTGATGGGCTGTTTAAGTTTTTAATTACAACAGATTATTATTTTTCAGATGAGTTCAAAAACCTTAATGTTCATAGTTACAACTCAAGGCAAATGTTCTTTATTGTGCCTAGAACAACAAATAAATATTCTAAAAGAACAAGGGAATATTTAGTTCCATTCTTGTTAAACAGTTTACCAGTACAGCTGAGGAATACAGGGTGACAAAAAAGTCTGGAAACGGCTTAATATCTTTTTAACTAAATCCGTTAGAAAAGTAAAACTTTTAACATCAACTTACATGTATAAAAACTACTTTTTCCAAGCATTTTCATGTTTTTACCTCCACCAGGGGACGACCCGTAAGGAGTAGGTACAAAATCTTTAATGTAAGCATAGGTTGATATGCACACTATTTTAAAGGTCTGGTCAAGTGGAGTTCATTGCCGGAAACCACATCTCAAAAGGTTCATTCGTTACAAAATGGTGGCATTTCAAAGTTCTTGTGGAATATACCTTTACAGGCCTTAATATTGGTAAATACTCGTATTAAACATTATCTTGAGAGCTGAAATTGTATTTTAAAGTCAACTAGCCCATAGACTAAGTTTATTCAATCTTCAAAACAAATTTAAACGGGTTTCAGATTTCCCGGCTTATTTTGACTATGAGTATTTACCATTACTAAGGCCTGTGCAGGTATATTCCACAAGAACTTTGAAATGCCGCCATTTTGTAACGAATGAACCTTTTTTGACGCGGTTTCCGGCAATAAACTCCACTTGACCAGACCTTTAAAATGGTGTGCATATCAACCTATGCTTACATTAAAGATTATGTACCTACTCCTCGTGGGCCGTCCCCTGGTGAAGGTAAAAAAATGGTAATACTTGCAAAAAGTAGTTTTCATACATATAAGTTGATGTGAAAGGTTTGAATTTTCTAACGAATTTAGTTAAAAAGATATCAAGCCGTTTCCAGACTTTTTTGTCACCCTGTATATGTTACTGTGGAGTTTTAAAGAAGAAGTTAAAGAATTTATATTTAGATCTGAGTTAAAGATAACTGTGTTTCATATTTTATCATTGTTGTTCACTGTTCCAAATGTTTATTATTGTTACTTTTTTAATATATTATTCACTGTTCAATGTTCCAAATGTTTATTATTGTTACTTTTTTAATAGTTTTAAATCCGTTTATTGCTGTTACTTTTTTCATTGTTTATTAATAATTGTTAAAATCTGACTACTTTAAATTCTATGATTGGTTTGGTATATTATTGAATTCTTACAGAAAAACAAGGGAAACAAAAGACTGATTGTGTAACAAAGACTGATTGTAAAAAAAGCACTGTGAAATAACAAAATTAGAATAATTGCTGCAGACAAGCCAAATTGGCTTTTGTGGCTTGGAATTTTATGAGTTTTGTAAATTTGTATTTTTTTGGAAATAAATAATAATAATAACAATAATTTAGTTTCACTAATTTATTTAATTTGTAACTCATCTTTTGAGCATTTGCCTCAAACCCAAAGGTCGAATTTAGAATAATAATAGCATTGATAATGATGGAATACATATCAGATTGGTCAGAGATCATTAATCAAATCTAAATCTTTTAAGTGTACAAAAGAATAAGAAATGGCACTGGAGTAGAGAATAAAAGTATACTTACTGTTTCGTTGTTTAGAGTTCCTACAAGCAATAGATTGTTGACAACATTAACTCCAGTTAGAGCAGACAGTTGAATATCAAAATCTTGCATGTTTTTGAACATGTAAATGGTTTTCAACCCAATTGTGAATGCAGTAGCCTTTAGTTCAGCAACTAAATGTGCCTTAGAGGACGAAAATGTCAACTTTCCATTTATTTTCTGGTACTTTTGAAAAGGAGTCAGAATGGTTATGAGGAATCTACTCTCATTTAAAGTCTTGGCCGACCCTGAAACAGAGGAATTAACAAATTAGATGCTTAAAATGTTCCAAATTCATAATTTTGATATTTTTATTTTAAAAACTATAAGTTTTACTGAAATTTGGTTCCACTTTTGGTAAAAAGCAGCAAAAAAAGAAAGTGCTTACATAGAAGAAATCTAATTCACTAACTGACCTGATCATTAAAGTAAAACTCAGTGGCGTAGCCAGGATTCTGTTTTGGGGGGGCCCGAACCAGGGGGTCTGGGGAGTATGGAATACCTCCCGGTGCTGGAGGGGGGTCTTTATTTGTATTTGAAGGTGCTAAATTACAGTTTATAACACCTCTGGAGGCTCTAAGGTAGAGAATAATCTAGGTGTATTACCACTAAAAATTACCTTTTACTGCTCTGAAATCTTTAAAAAGTTGCCTAAACTACTATTAAGCTGCCTGATGTAATTTTATTAAATAAATCAAGCTAACAAAACTACACTCAACTTGTCGAATAAAGAATATGGCCAATACTATGTTGCACGATAGTTATGTAACTTAGTAAACTTGAATATGCATACTATAAAAACTGTTTGTTTTCAAAGATTACACATGCTACGCAAAATTTTGCATAGCATGTGTAATCTTTGATGATACTAATAGAATACAAAAAGGCAGAGTACAAACAATAAATTGTCAGATGAGTTAGGTAGTACAGCATTTTACAGTACATTATATAATTTTTCACTTGAGATTTGCACTAACTAGCAACGCAGGGCTTGCTCATCTGCTCCCCTCCCCCCTCTCGTATGTCCGGTTGGACGCTGATTAACAACTAGGCTTCTAATAAAAACAATAACTTATTTCCAGGTCTGAATAAAATTGTAATTTAAAATAGGCATATAAATTTTTAAGCATTTTCTCCTGATCAATAATATCAAATAATACTTTTGATCGTACAGTTAATAGTCTAAAAGAATTAAGATTAATTAAGGAACATCTTATGTACCTAAGTTAAATAGATAAACTATTTAACATTAAAACAACTTAAAACTGCTTGATTTGAATGAGTTTTACACATTTATTACCACCATAGCATAACAAGTCGTATACTAATCATCAAATTAAAAAATTGTAATGTTAGAAAGATATTAATTCTGTACTTAGGAAAGAGGTTATCCAGGAGAAGTGGACGTTGCTGATGTTGATTTTACTCTAAACACTAGATGTCCTAGTGTGTACGCACTCATTTGACTGTGTTTCTAAAACGCTCCCGTGTGTACAGGGTGTATATAGCTATGATTTGAAACAACTTTCAGTATTCAACGTCGTGGCCCATGGGCAACTAAAAAAGAAAAATTTCGGGGGGGGGGCCCAATTCCCTGGATACGCCACTGGTACAACTATATGGAAGACAAACTTATTATATTTTTTTGGCAAAAAGCACGCTGGTAAATTGTACATAGGGAGGTAGTTATATACAAACTACTGCTCAGAAACAAAGGAAAAAAAGTAATAACAATAACTACTTTAATAATACAACTTATTATGTTGAGACTAAATATTTGATGACTTATATTACTTACAGCACATTACAAGTGCATTATAAATCGGTTGTAGGCGAACTACTCTTACTAGTTTAGAGAAAATAAATTTCCATCAACATTAATTATATTTCTGTAAAACAAAACCATGGAGTAATATTCTATAGTAGGAAGGTAATATTTTGTTTGACATTGGTGATACACAAAAACAGGACTTTAGTTTACAGTCCAATAAACAGAGTGAGGCATTCTATAACCCCACAAACTATCATAAGAAACAACCACTAAAACACTTATCTAAAAAAAAAATGTATGTCAAGAAACATTTAAACCACAGCTATTTATTAAATGAAGGTCACAGGTTTTGTAAGACGGACTGGCATAGAACATTATATTATGTGGTGTACAATCTCTTTATGAACATCCCGTTAGGCACAGGTTCTTTTTTATTTTAGATGTTAGATGTTTTTTTCTTAGATATGTAGGTAATTAAATTGTTGAATATTTTATGTTTAATTAAATTAAGTTATCCCAATGTAACTTTATTTTTGTTATATTTTGAATGTCAGGCTAAGTGTAAGAAAGGGCCATGTGGCCCTAACTTTGCCTGAAAAAATAAACAATTTTTCATTTCATTCATTCATTTCAGGTTCTAGGTCTTTTTTTACATTATGATTTGACAACACAGCACCATGATACCCCAATTTTTATAACAACCACAACAGCATCTGTAGTAAAACTCATTGTTGTTTTGACAAACATTTTTATTACAATCTTACAGCGTTATTTGGTTCACTGTTTAGTTGCCACTTAAATCATGAATTGTTTACGTACTGTTTATGTCCCTTTGCAGTGTTGCTTCAAAAAGGAATTACAAAAATCCTTTTTTGTTCCGCACCATCCTTTATTTACTTAACATATTTATTTTTATACTAAAAATATAGTTGATCACTATGGTTTATAATTTCATGGGTTTACAATATATTCATGGTTCAGAGGGTTATAATATATTTAAATTTACAGACTTTATGGGTTTTTCGGAAATGTATCATACCTTCAAACGATGTATTTACACTCCTATTGTTCAATGCAATGACAGAACCACCCCGAAAATTGTTGTCAACATCCATGATGAGTATGCCTGATATTTCACCTCCAGTCAAGTTGTGAAACGGTGTTGTAAATTTCACTTGACCAGCGTATTCTGATGAAAGAGCATCTCGAACTATCTTTCCTCCGCCTTCCAATCTGACACGGTGAGAAGAAGATGGCTAAAAGCAAGCTCACATTAGTTTTATAAAATAACCAACCTACAAAATGTGCATGTAATCTAAGTTTGATTTTAAACTAATAGCCAGACAGCTGACTACTTGTTGGCGAAGTTGCCGTTTATTGGACGTAGAAAGGATGTGTCTGTGACTTTGTCCAGATTTTCCATTTCATTGCAAGAATGACTGTATTGACACTTCCGTGAATATAAGTTGCATCATTGCAAAACAGTTTGCATTTTCAGAAATTTTCAAAAGTTCTGGGCTGGGAGCACTAAGCCCTGTTCCAGCCGGCTGGACGCCATATTGCACTCAACTCATCTTTCTGTTTGTTGTTTTATTCAAGAGTAAATCAGCTTTTGCTTCATTTGCTTTTAAGAGTATAACTATTTTATATAAAAAATAAACCTTATAGAATAGTGTGGTTAAAAAGGTTTTCATACCTCAATATCAACTAATGTTCTAATCTGTTGTGATGACTGAGTATATAAAAATTGGCCTTTAAGTGGGGAAACCTCTGGAATAGTAGAATTTAGTAGAATAGTCACTGAAAATCCAATTTGGGAGTTGGATGTTAGAGAGAGGTAAGTAACGTCGGCGAGCGCTGATCCATTATGGCCCCAGGTGACACTGGCGTTGGACCTTGTACTGTTGTCCAAAATCCACAGCCTAAAACAGTTGCATAAAATTTTCTAAATATTATACAATGTATAACACATAGTTTGGTTTGTTTTTTAATTGCCAAAGGTCTCATGTAAGACCTAGACCTGGGATTAATTTAATTTTTTCATTTTATGTCCCCAGAAGTAAAAAAACCAATTCAAATTCATATATATAACTCAAGTAAAAATCATCCGATTTTGATGAAATTTGGTAAAAAAAACATCTAACCTAAATTTATTTGAGCGAGGCCGGGAACCAGTATGATCGGAAAGTGGGAATAGGACTTAATGGGATGGAAATTGATTTTTCCCCCTTTTGATTCCCATTAAGAATTTCAGTGTTAACTGAAGACTCTTATTGTTATTCTTATTTACTCGCTCACAATAATTGCACTTTTTTGCATTGACACTAATATTGTACATAAATATGAATAAAAATTATGAGTATGAATAGTCTACAATAATAATAAATGCATAAAAAATCATTCTTCCACTAGGTCACGCAAAAGACATAAAACTACTAAAACTTTGATGTTTTCAAGCTACCAAGTGTAAAACAAAATAATCAATCTATAATTAATGTTATATTCCTAAACTAAATTACCAGTTCACAATAATTACCCATAGTTCAAGTGAGTCACTTTCCAATTTTCAAACGGCGTAAACACTTTGGTGAAGAATGTAATGGTCCCTGTCTTTTGTAAACTCAGGGACAAAAAGGAGGAAACGCTGATGGAACTTGTGGGACTCCATTCTAGATTCATCAGGCCTGTGTAGTCAGAATCTAGAACAAAAATGGTGTAGTAAAAAAAGGTATTTTAGCAATTTATTTACCAAGACATATTCCTTAAAACTGAGCCTTCTTGAGAAAAATACCCCAATACAAATAGAAAAATAGTAAATGAGTGAAATGATTTCATAAATAGGATAAGGAATACAACATTTAAATATACAATATTCTTCCAATAAAGTTGGATTGACTGTCAATTATACCTCCCCACAAAATGCCTTGTTGTATGGTATACCCTAAGAGAGAATTTTTATCAAACTATTTCAGTGAACTTTTTTGTTTTTACTTATTTTAACAAAATATTTGACACTATTTAAATGTTTAAATTTAAATGTTATCTGGCTATGCAAATTTTTTATTTAAATCTATTTTTCCTAAATGTTGGAACATTGATGGTCTCTTAATCTTACTATTTCCCATACACATATGATTTTATTTTAAAATTTAAAATATAATAACAACATCACAGAATAGGACTAGTATTAAACCCTACGCATACAAAAATTAAAAAAAGATAAAACTATCTACAACTGTAATCACTCTAAGAACAATGTGTTGCTTTCGTCACTATAGAGCTAAGAGAGAAAGAATATCTAATTTAGTTTTTTATACTTTTTATTTATTTTTCTAGATCTCAACTCTCTGAGACCATAGACTAAAGACCCTTTTATACCAGTTGGCTTGGTAAGTGCATTGTGTTAAATGAGAAGTGTTTATGTAAGTGGAAAGACTGGCAGGATCACGGCGACGCACTACTTGTAGCAGCGGCGCTTGACAGTGTTGCCAACTGTGTCTGCCAACCAAATCTGTCATCCATCAGTAGAGAAGCTTAACCCTGTAGTGCAGCAGGATCAACCAGTTTTTACTCCCTAACTATGAAGGAGCTTTCATCAAACTATGAAGTTTTAGAACTTGTCATTATCATCAATCAAAAGGTTAAACAAGTTTTGGCTGTGCTGTTACAGTGTAAGTAACAACTGGTTGGTGACTCCAGAGATAATTTACTTCTAGAAATCTTCTCACCTTTATGGCGCAGTGAGACTGTTCCTGTAATCGTACGTCCAGGGTATTCAATATTACTTCTTAACTCAAAATTTAGGCGACGGCCTCTAGACAACTCTACTTTGAACACCACTTTTTGGGAGGGATCTCTGTTTGCATCCCATTTGATATCTAGCTCAATCAGCATCTCTTCTACACTTTGTGGTCCACTGACTTTTACATGAATGTCTCTGTACCTAAAACAGATCAAACGGAATTTAAATAAGAAATAAGACAAGAGCTGGTCCAGCAGTAGAGCTTGAGGCTTCAGAGCCCGAGGTCCTAATTTAAAATCCCGCTAATCAAAAATGGATTTTGTACATAAAATACCCTTGTATTAAACTCCAACACTACAGACAACACAATGAGTCATATGCTGGGGAACTTACAAAAGCAGCTAAAGGAAAAATAAGGGTATTTATGTCATTAAAATTATGAGTACCGTATAGCAAGATATTTTTCTCTGAATGATCATTTTCTCAAATAATATGAATAGAATTTATGATCAGATCATATTCCATAAGATTATACAAGATATGTTGATATCATAAAGTGTTGTAATAATTACAATTTGTTAATTAAAATAAAATTTTATTTGAAAATTTATTAATTTTGTCATTGCTTATTTTAGAACCTTTTGATAAAAGACTCTCATGGGGATTATACAATTAGTCTGGTTATCAAGGTTGACTTCTTATTGAGGTTTGCAGTAACATGTGTTCATAGGTATAATAAATTCAAGGGGATTTGAAAAATACACTTGTTATCAAGAGGGACTTGTTATCGAGGGTCTTCTTATCAAGGTTCCACTGTATTATTATTTTTTTCTCTCTTTAAATTAAAATTAACAAATAAACCATTAGTAGCCTAATCTTACTAGGTTTAGGCGTACTTTTTAATTTTAAGTTGCCAGTGATAATCACTGAAGTGAATGAAAGAAACCCCTTTTTTATTGAGGATTAGAGCCCCAAACATGACCCTTTCCTGTAATTATAATCCCAAATAGAGAGCTCAAAGAATAAGAAAGCTATTTTAAACCCACACACATCTAGTACTAGCCTGAAGGTGACTCCAATGTGAGTTGAAACTACAGTACATTCTCAATTATCCGAGCCCTCGAGTTATCTGAGGTCATTTAGGCCTAAAGATACAAATTATTTTTTTATCTTTATCCCTGGTCGGGAAACAATAATTAAGTTTTTAGGAATGTTTCTGTTGAAAGTAAAGTTATAATAGCAAGTAATTTGTAGTTTCTTTAAACTAATGCTTAAAATAATGATTATAGGTATTATTTTATATTTTAACGTACAAATTATCTGCAGTAACCTTAAAAATGAAAAACACACAGTACTAGGTTGGCCGATAACCACTGGTAAGCTGTCATCTGCAGAACGTCAACAAAAGCATTGACATTTCTGCTTGGGCAATGCCGGCTCGTATCATCTTTTGCCAGTGTTTGTCATTACAATGTTTTAATATTGACATGATTGTGTCAAGTATAGTTCAAGTCAAACTCAAACAAAAATTAATTGTGTACTTTAATAACTATAGGGTTCACTTTTATTCTTATTCTTTTTTTTTATTTAATCCTTTAGAGTATTTGCTTGGCATCATTTAATAATAATATGTAGGCTACAGTATTTATAGTTTTCCAAGACAATTAAAGAAGACCTCCCTGTTATCCGAGATTCTCGATAACCGAGGTAGTGTCCGTCCCAACAACCTCGGTTAATCGAGAGTGTATTGTATAGTTGCCTTACTGCAACATTCTAGATCAATTAAATGCAGATATTTACATTAATTTATAGTGTTGGATTTTGCTATGAGATAAAAAATCTATTAAAACTTAACAGAAGGTTGAAGTGATAAAATTGTTAAGAAAATTATATTCCAACTACAATAGTGAGTCTCTTGGCATAGAAATTTCAATTTCTGTTGTGTTTGATTTAAGTGTTGTGTTTAGTTGGATTCTACAATTGGTTGGTAGACAATAGACATACTGATCCAGATGCAGCTCCATCCTCGCCTGGTGTGTTGCCATGTCAATAAAGTTGGAGATTGTATATGTACTAGTGTTCCAAGTCAGCTCTCCATTTGAAATCATTGCACCAGGATTAGGAGATTGATGGTGAACGTTGAGGATGTATTTGGCTTCGTCATAGTCTACCTGGGAATTAAAATGATATATTGTCATTATATACTAACTAAACTTATCAACTTCCTTCACATCATACAAGTGCAAGTGTAATGTGATTGTCCACTGATCATGAACACTTCAGTTTCAGGAAACTAAGTTAATTTGCGTTATATCTTGATACAGGATCGGAATGGTTGCAAGTATTGTAAGTTGTAAGTGTGATTGGTTCTATGTTCCTCAGAGGAAAAAAACCGCATTTGTTCAAAATCATATATTCCCTAGGTTAAAAAGTTGTGCAAGTTACTTTTCAGCTACCCGGTACAGGGTGCCACGTTAGTAGAAAGCCAAACTCCAGGAAATGGTTCTATGGGTCAAAATGAAGAGAAAATCAAAATTAACATTTTTTTAAATAGCTTTGTTAACTAGATATTCCCCATTTTGTATTTTTTATATAAACATTTTTATCTTTGGATTGTTTAAACCAATCTTTAAACATGGTATAGGTAGGAGATATAACTCTTAAGTAGGTACAATAGGTACATCATGAACACTATGAACCCTGTTTATAAATATGATATTTCATATTGGTATAGAGAATACCTCACATTAAATCAACAATTCATTCTTTACGGTGTCCGTAAAAATGTATGATTTATTACTCAAATTAATCAATGGCTTGATGGCTTTGGGAGGCTATAGTCATTCTAGAGTTTATGATTTTTATTCACTGGAACTTACCATTAAGTCAGTCTTATATTCTTTAGCTCCAATGTGTAGCCTGCCAATAAATAATATCTCATGAAAGAATTGGGACGAACAAATCATTTTGACTACATAGATTCTATCTATAAGTGAAGATTTGTCTTCGTAAGAGCCGGTTAAAATGACACTGTGGCCGCTGAACCAAACCGCTTCCACAGAAAGCTGAAAACAATAAAAGTTACACTGAATAAAAACACTATCTCTTGTGTGAAACATAGACGGTTTCATACAACAAGTAAGATTTGATCACAAATGTATTTAAGATTTATAATATGTTACAAGGTTACTTGAGGTGATTGAGCTTTCATAAAGAATGTGTAATTTTTTTAAATCAAAATTAAATTAAAGACTCTAAATACATGAGTGTTTAAAACTCTTTCTATTCTTGTGTGTAAATACAAATCATAGGAAATTTGCTCAAACCCTTTGATTTTACATCCTTGTTTGTGCTCCACCCTACTTGAGATGTAAATCTCTGTAAACCATATTATATTCAAGTCATCCAAGTTCATTCAAGTTTTTAACATAGTCTATAGTTAATTTTCCCTAAATATAGGTCAAACAAACCAAGCAGCGAGAGGTGAGTAACGCATGTACATACATCATAATGTAGCGCAATCTTCTCCATTATCTTGGCATCAACTACCATAGCTTCCTGTGCATTTGGAATAGTCACTTCAAAACGGCTTTCTATCACTAATAAGCTTCCTTTGGGGATCTTCAACTCAAACGCTATTGTTATTTCCTTACCTGAAAAATAAATGTACTGTATATGACTTTTTTATTTTCTTCAATTATTTCTCTATTTATTATGATGAAGACAACATGGCCTTAGCTAGATATGTGTTGAAACTAGTTCTTGAATAAAAAAAAACACACAACAAATCTTACACCTTTTATGGGGAAATTACAACATTTTTTTACCGTAATTCTCAAAACAGTAGAGGTTGTACAATTTTGTTAAGATTTAAAACCATAAAACCATAACATACTAAATTTTATTACAAACCGTTTTTGTAGAAATGCTATTTTCCTGTTATTTTTTGAGTTATTATGAAAAAATCCCGTCAAAATCAAGTTCCCAAAATATGAAAAAAATTCCTAGAGGTCCATGGATTTAGTACTCACACACCAAGTTTTATTGAAATTGGACCACAGGTGTGGTCTGTAGCTCTCTACACATCTACACACGTGGGCACCCACACAAAGACATCACTTTGAAAACCACTTTCTTGGACCCAAACCATATATTTCCACCCAAAACTTACCTCACTAATTTTGACAAAAACAATACTTACTTCATAAACTATATCTATAGAGGGAAAAAGTAAATTAATGTGTTTGTAAAAAATCTCTATTCTCAATATTAGACACAATAAGCCTATATAAAGTACAAGCAATGGAAAAGTATGGAATACCTAAAAACTAAAAAATCAAAAAACGCTATCAAAATCAACTATATCAGGATCTAAATGCTAGATTAAAGTCAATCGAGAAATCTCAGAGGATTTTGACATAAATACTATGGGAACAAACATAAATATCCTGACTTTTGCAGATGATGTAACCCAAAAATGAAGAAGAACTCAAAATTATGATTACAAAACTCATAAACAACGCTAAAAAGACAGGCTAGCAAATGTCACGTCAGCCTCAGACTTCGTGGGACCACAGCCTTTCTGTGGAATCTCTCGTGGGAATGCATGTCACTCAGTCATGTCATGGGCTCAGGAGGAACACAGGAAAAGATGGGTTAGGCTTCAGCACCATAGGGTAAGTAAGCTCACCCTCTTCTCCCCTTCCCAGACGGTCGCCTCCAATGCTCTACGTTTAGACAGGAGGCAACTCAGACAGATCACAGGAATGGTCACTGGACATGACATGGCTTCCTGAAATTGCACCTGCATCACTTGAGGATCCACAATGGTGACACTGCGTGTAGGAAATGTGGGCAATCAGAGGAGACTGCTGATCACCTACTCTACGACTGCACAGCTCTGAATGAGGTAAGGGACAGTACTCTTGGTGCAATGACAAGGGGCAGACACCTTCCTCAGGAGGAGCTCATAGACAGGATGCTGAAGTTCATTAAGCAACTCAGGTTTGACGGACTCTGAAGTACCATGTGGGGAGCGCAAAAAGCCCATCAGTGGCTGACGTGCAACAGGACAAGGTCCGCCCCTAAAGAATCAATCAATCAATGTGCAACTACAAGCTTGTATGGATGGAGGTGTAGGTCCTCATGGAGAATACGAGACACAGTAAGATTAAGCAACGCCAGCGCGGATGCATGCTTACAAGCAGAACATTGAGGAGACTGGGACGGTTCTTTGAGCTCCAAATATCCTTCGCAATACACCACCACATACACTGAAGTCCTTCACCCTCACCAAAATGTAACAGCTTTGCAGCAGGACATCCGATAACAAGTTAGCAGCGCACGCTAGCTGCACAGCAACAATAGACAGATTTTTTGAAAAAAATGCATCTCGAGTGCAAAAACACATTGCTCATTTGAACAAGCCATGTCTACTACTGTGGAAAGTGATATTCTTAGAAAATCCCAAAGCAACAGCGACATTTGAGCCAAACTCCATTCCTCCAGTACACCCCCACTTCTCACAGTGCCATCTTAAAAGTAGGGATATTTCTTTACCCCACCCTGCTGCATAACAGTGCCCTAGATATGTAAATTACAATCACTTTGATATTTGAAAAAATATTTTGAGGTTTTAAATAAATAACGTTTCAGCGGTTATTTGAAATGATCAAAATTAACATTGCTCTTATGGCGGGCAGATCCAAGATGGTCGTTGGCCTCCAAGGACTCCTTTGGAAAACAATTACAAAACCACATAGAAAATGTCTAATCCCACAGTGCCCTGGGTATTTAAATTACAATCACTTTGGTATTTGACAAAATATTTTGGGATGATAAATAACTCTTTAGCAACATAATTAATCCAAGATGGCCGCTAGCCTCCAAGAACTCTTTAGATGTCCCCAAAAAATAAAAATCTACATCAGATAGTCTAAACATCCAAGTCAAGAACTACAGTAAGAAATAATGTAATATTAATAGGTACAATTTGAATTTTATAAAGATATTATTTAATTTTATATAAGATTTAAAGAAGTCTTAATACGTTTTGCCCATTATTATACTGAAAATGGTTTTCTCAGTAAATTTTAACCCAAACTATAATGTTAGTAAGCTACTATGACGACAATGTCATATGTCAATTAATTCAAGATGTTTTATTTTCTCAAAACATTCACATAATTTTGCAAATTATTAATTATAATAACTCAAATTAAAATTTGTATAGCTCCGATAACTAAGGGTTTGTTTAAATAATTGCAATAATTGTACACAAGTGAAACAAATTTCATTTAAATACACAACAGATATTTAAGAATATAAACTCTGCATTAACCGGGTTGACACAAGAACTGATTAATAGTATGAATTACCTTTTGAATAACGTACAACAGAAGTTAAAGATAAGGCTCCTGGAATAAGCTGAGATGCAACAGATAGCTTGAGGTCAATGTCATCATCAACTTTTTTAACCTCTACAAGGGCCTCCACCTTGCTACCGCTGTGAGTCTTGTGATATGAGAACACAGTTTTGATTAACAGTTTGTGGTCGTCATCTCTGAGGTATGGATTTGTCTGGATTACAGCCTTACAATCTAGACGACCGAAACCTTTCTGCAAAACAAACATGTAAACAGGTTATTCATCAACCAATCTCAACACATAACTTTAAAAGAAAATTGAAATATATCTTCCAGGTCACTTTATCTAATGACTGATATAGATTTCTAATCATCCGAACTCCATCATCCAGGGTTATCAATTATACGGATCACGTGAAGTGAAAAATATTAAGAAAATGGTTCGAAAAATTGAGTTCATTGCAGTATACAGTAATCCGTTACATATTTCAAAGTTTGCCTGAAAAATTGTGTCCGTCATCTGCCTAATGTGGTATTGTATCGATAAGGATAAAGGATCTAGCAAGACGTGAATGACTGAAAACTATTAAACAATAGACTCTTACTAAAATGTTTGAAAGATGCAAGTAAATGTACAGTTACTATGCTGTGTGTTCTGTTTGTACTGTAATGTCAGAACATACATTATTAAATTTGGTTTGAAACTACTTTTTTATTTATTTTTTCTTTAAAAATATCATGATCTGGATTGTTGATCATTGGGAGTCTGGTCCCTAATGATCCGAAAAACTGGAGTTCCACTGTAAGTGGAATCAAGTCAATAAGTCTAATATAAATCTACCTATATTTATATTTGGTGAACTTTTATTGGGAGGTCCTATAGCTCTGGTAGCTACAGCGCCAACGCACATTTAATTCTAATTGCTCCGAGGAATTTCGATTCCCATAGCTCCAATAACTAAACTGAAATAATTTTATAGTTTCAAAGATAGAATTATTCACACAGATCCGAGGAAATTTAGAAAACAGCACAGCTCCGATGGAATTTCATAACATTCACTCAGGTCCGATTAAAGCCAAAAACTCTCTGAGGTTCAATGGGTCTCCCACCCATCCAAACTGTGCAGCTGCCTTAATTTTCCCAGTAGAACTCTAGAGAAAATAAAACATTATTCTAAATACTCTTCTAAATAATATTCTAAAAACTTATTTTAGGAAATAAACAAAAATAATTTATTAGCTTGTATTTCTTTGTGACTTACTTGGAAGTTAAGACTGATAAGTGTGTTGATCTGAGGATAAGTTGAAGAGATAAACTTGACACTCCCAAACCACTCTGTGTGCATCTTGGTTGATCTGTCTCCTAGCCTCAGTTCCAGGCGAACAAATGCTGGTTTGGAATTTTCAAATTGGTAGTCCAATTTCAGATTTGTTGATATGGAGGCATTGTTTGTTCTAACGTAGCCAGTAATAGCAGTAGAAAATCGGTTTGTATGGAATTCAAGATTGATCTCACATTGAGAAATATCATTTTTAACAACCCACTTGTTTGTACCTGGAACAGATTCCTTAACCTGTACTTAATATATATCTAGAACTCCCAATTTTTTTATAATTATGAATTTGGTGTAGTTGAAAAGAGATAAACAATAAAATTGATATATATCAATATTTCAAAAAGTCAAATTGTCGACATACAAACAAAATATACCCTTAGACATTATCATTATAACTTATCAATCTGCCTTTAAAATGTCTCTTTAAGATCAGTATCAGAAGACTGTTGGTCGTTTGTGGCTCAGTCTCGGTCGCCACAGAATTCAGGCCCAAGGCAGCGATGTTGTGTATTTTGATCCTAGTGACCAGGATCTGATTAAAACTTAACTTAAAAGTAGTGGCTACCCTTGTGCTGTCCGGCTCACCCCTTCCTTTGCTGGATACGTTCCACGCACAGGCCTCTGTGGCCCATGTGGATGGGCAAATGCAAGGTAAAAGATGGAGGCTGCCAACCTCTAAGAAAGTTCATTTAAATCATATAATGAACAACTGACCACATAAAACAAGGTTTATCGGCTATAACACCGTTTTGTAATACCCTCTGTATATATCTTGTATGCCAAAGTAAATGTTTTACAAAGTTGGTACAGTAGTTTCTTTTTACCCTGCATTTGTCAGTATACAAAGGCTTAGCACATATGCATAGAATCAAGTAAAGCAAGGGGCTATAGCCAGTTGAATAGTAAATTCTTTAACATTAAAACTTCATTATGCTACAATATACCATTTAATGCAGCAATCTGTTTGTCATTGATGAGGAATTGAAGTCTTGGTTCATATGTCATTCCATATTTACTGGGCTTGGAGAATAGAGCAATTTGTAGATCAATGTGTTTCTTCCCATTCATGTCTATCCAGAATGTTAGTGATAGTTCCTCCGGAGTGTTTCTGTAGAATCCTAAACAAAACTACTTAAATTAAAACTGTGACATATAACATAAACACTAAATGAAATTTGGGGAGATAGTTGTTGGTGTTTATGATAAAAATTGTGATCTATCTTTGTTTAAATGTTATGTTGGGTTAATCAATAACAAATCAAATAATACCAGATTCCTTCCTCGAATATTGGGTTACAACAATAACAATTGAAGGAGAGGGCAGCTATAAGAAATATTCATACTAATGAGTTATTGTAATAATCAAGAAATTAATCCACCTAATATTAATAGTTCTGAACATACCATGTTAGAGTGATGATTGTTAATTGTACGATACAAGGTGTTTTTTTTTACGTAGCCTTAATTACAAGTAGGCCTACTGTGAAACATTGTTTAACGACAAAACAAGCTTATATGCTGGTATGTTTTCTTTATTACATTGCCAATCAGCTGATATGCATTGTTGTATAGTTATCGTCGAGGTTTAGTTTTATTGAGAATTAATTGTAAATAGGACTCAACGTTTTCCCAAGCTCAAAGAATAAGGATATGTTAAAAGTAAATAAATATTTTTATGCCTGGAGATGTTTGAAATTAAGTTTCCATGTGTGATAAGAGTACCTACCTAATAAATCAATTATTGACATGTACAAATTCAAGCAATCCGGATCCGAAGTAAACAAAAATATAAACCTACAATACGTACTCTATTTGAGCTTGTGGAAACACAATGTTAAATCTTATCTAGAATGAATTGTCACAAACACTAAACATCATAGAGAACTATGCAACAATGCATATCAGCTGATCGGAAATAAAGTAAAATAAAAACAAGGATACCAAAAATACACGGTTGTTTTGGCCTGAGAGTTTGCATTTAACCATTGACTTTGGCATACTGAGTAGAAATCCCATCTAGATGGACCATCAGTAACCAATTTTTATTAAAAGAAAAAAACAGTTTTATGAGACTTTCACAGAGGCAAACTGCTGTAAAAATCAAATTTTCTCCTTTAACTTTTGTTACTATACAGGGTGTTTGTGAACTCTCTCGAAAAAATTCAGAGGATTATTCCTTGGGTTAATACATGAATATTTTACATTATAAACATGGGTCGCCGGAGCCTCGTTTTCCGTCTGTCTGTCTGTATGTGTTTTTTATAAATGACCTTATAACTCAAGTTTGAATCGAGGTACAAACTTTAAATTTGACACACTTGTGTATTTTAACGTGGTACACAAACATGCAAAATTTCATTTCGTTGACTATAGCCGTTACAAAATGGCGGCCATCTAAAATCTTTGACCTCAAATTACATGAAAACCACTAGAGTTACAAAAAACACAAGAATAACAAAATGTAGGTTATTCTAAATTTTATGCCAAACCAAATGACACATAGATCTTAAAGATCGGACAACAAACAGCTGAGTTATTAATTTTTTTAATAATTAATAATTTCTTTACTGGCTTTTAATTGTTATTGTTTATTCTTTAAAATCATCTGATCCTTTCTAAATTGTTACAACAATGTAAGACAGCTGGTTGGACAGATGATTTTGAGATGATGATCAGATGATTTTTTTGAGTTATTAGTTTTTTAAATAATTAATAATTTCTTAACTGGCTTTTAATTGTTATTGTTTATTCTTTAAAATCATCTGATCCTTTCTAAATTGTTACAACAATGTAAGACAGCTGGTTTGCCCTAACAACTACATTTAGTTTTTTTACTAGATGGTAAATGTATTAAGTGTCCTATTTTTACCTTAACTATTGAGATCTGTTTAAGGTTACGTAATGTACTCTGTATCAGATGATTTTTTATAAGTTGTGTATTATTCCAGCTTCAAGAACGAATTATTAGTTTACCTTGTGGTTGCCAGATTCTTGAAATGTGTAGATTTCTTGCTCGATGTACATTTCGCTACATGTGTAGCATCGTCAGGAGCACAGTTTGTCACATTAGTCTATTTAACACAAACACTATTTACAAATATTTACATTTTCGGTCGGATGACGATTTACGGTAAAGTCATAGGAATCCAGCGTGCGATGTTTTTTTTTTGTAACTCTAGTGGTTTTCATGTGATTTGAGGTCAACAGGGCCGGTTCCAGGGCTGAGTTTGGGGGGGGGCCACCGGGGGGTCTGGGGGGTATGGAATACCCCCCTGGCAGACAGGGGGGTAAATTTGTGAAAATTATGTGCTGAAATTAGCGTTTTTAAAGCTATTTTGAGACCCTAGCTTTAAGATTTAAAAAAATGTAACATTTGAGGTTGTTGCCTTATTAAGAATAATTGTGGAATTTCATGAACATTTCTTCAGCAACAAACTGCAAACAGTCAAACTAGTTTTAGGTTAGGTTTATTGATACAATTCATGAAAAGTGTATAGTAATAGTATAGGCATGAATTTGGTTATATGCAATAAAACTTCTTGACCACCTGGTGCCGACTTGGGCAGGGATATACGGAGGGCGTATGTAGTGAGTGGTTCCAGTGAACTCATCAGGCATGTTGAACCGTATACAAGCTGACACAAAAAAAACTTCCCATCCAATGTTAAAATGTGAAGCTTGTTCTAAGGTGTAGTACTTGTATGTCACACCAGAGTGTCTCGTGTCGACTAAATAGCCTACCTAGCATAGGCAAGTAGTGTCATTTGCCCGTTTTCGGGGATATCTCTAGCCCTGGTTTTCGGTTGCCTTTGCAAGCTCTTAGTTTTATCATAGACGAGCAAAAAATCCACGTAGGCCTAAAACACTCTCTAATACAGTTGGCTGATCTACTTGTATAGATGAGAAGTCTAATAGTTTTATACAATGTAAAGCCGTGTAATTAATTGGTTTGTGTCATTGAGTAAATCAACGTGTTCAAGAGATTTTGGGCTTTATGAAAAACTATACAAGTTGGCCTTTATATAATCTATTCCTCTTTATCTACCTCTAACTTTGCACATAGTCGTCCTAGACTAGGACGACTATGTGCGGTCCTTGTTAATTTTTTGAGGTTATGTACACAGATTTAATAGGCTATATCCTTAAATGCATATGGGAGCTCAATAATTACAATTGTATTGCGTTGAAAACAAACCTCTCTGCAAAATGCTTGTAAGGTATCAGCTTGAAACATTTTTTCAGGCTCGGCTAATTTAGGAAATTGAAATTGTAGGTTCAATATGGCGCCCATGGTCCATTGAATTTACCGACAGAGACCTATAATCTATTAAAGTTGTGCTTACGATACTGCATTATTACTACTCAAATACTGACGAAGAACCCATAAATAACCAATCACAATGCAAGGGTATAAAATCAACTAGTGACAACGTAGCATAAATTCAAATTCCATAGATGTTCAGTTCACTCTCACTGCTGCTCTACTCAGTGTCTACTCGCTAGTCGCAGTGTTGTAGTGTTGTAGTCGGCTGGTCGCTACTACTACCACAGCAGCGCTGCTACCAGTGATATTGGCTACTCGTCACCATCGATATATAACTACTATATATCGATGCTCGTCACATGGCGTGATGGTGATGAGTCATCGATGTGTACTACGCGCCGGCCTAAAAACATTACCCGTTTAACTACGAGCTGGCGGCACCGCGCACCTGTGGCGAATGTGTGTGGCCCAGGCTAGTACAACTTGAGTACGACGATGACTATCGCGCTCTCACTCCCATACTATTTTCCGCGTAAACGCCAGCTCCGCCTTGCCTGTGCTACCTATTCTTGTCCTAATGACCTATTCTTGTACTTAATAGCCTACTCACATAAAAAACTTCAAAAATAAATTATTATGGTTGGAGTTTAAGTTTGTTTATCTACATTCTCGGGGGGGGGGGGGGGGGGGCATGGCCCCCATGGCCCCCTCTCTGGAACCGCCCTTGGAGGTCAAAGATTTTAGATGGCCGCCATTTTGAAACGGCTATAGTCAACGAAATGAAATTTTGCATGTTTGTGTACCACGTTAAAATACACAAGTGTGTCAAATTTAAAGTTTGTACCTCGATTCAAACTCGAGTTATAAGGTCATTTATAAAAAACACATACAGACAGACATACGGAAAACGAGGCTCCGGCGACCCATGTTTATAATGTAAAATATTCATGTATTAACCCAAGGAATAATCCTGTGAATTTTTTTGAGAGAGTTCACAAACACCCTGTATAGTACCAAAAGATGTTATAGTTAACGATAAATTGTACTTTTGATTTAGCTTGGTTAAGTTTGCATACACACCAACATCAGTGCACTTTGTAGTTCATTTTAATTACTTTGATTTATGTTCCAAAGCTGGATACAGCATCAACTGGGAGTGGGATGTCTACTTCCCTTATCAATAATAAAATATTTATCACTGTAACAACAACCAATCTATACACCTTGTGCTCGGAGTTGGGTGCGTGTTGTCTGAAACATGAGTGTAACATTCGGTCCATCCTTCTCCAGGTTGAGGTTAGCCACGAGTCCTCGCTTTATGTTGGATCCTGGCGTGTCAAACACTACGCTTAGGACTCTTTTGTCCTGGAACATGAAGAAAAATGTACATTGTAACCAATCTTTTACATGGAATTCAATACCAAAAGTTGACATTTCTAAATTCAGTTCACTTTTCTCTATCATTATTACTTTATTTTAAAATTAGAATATACTAGGTGAACCTGTAGTAGTACTGTAGTTCAAATAGATAAATACAAAATGAAAGTAGAGATATACTTTATATAACTGCACAATAACAAAGTTATTGCAAATCATTATAAAATAATTAACATTTCAACAGGTCAACATGATCCACAGGTAACTGGGGGGTACAACGGTATAACCACCCATACCCCCCCCCTCAAAATAAAAAGAATTACCAGCAGGCCTGTATGTACAAATAATGAACCACACTGATAGCATAGGACATGGGCTGAAATGTAGATTTTGAATTTATATTGTTATTTATATTGTTATACAATATTGCAATATTTATACGTAAAAACAAACCTGGAAATCAGTCATCTTGTATTCCAGAGTGTAGACCTGGGTAGAGGGGTCAGATTTGTCCAGAGTTACTTCAACATTGAGGGGGCCATTGAAGATGACCATTGGTGAGTCAAGAACCAGAGAGGCGTTGGGAAGGAGAGATTTGACGCAGAATGTAAGGCCAAGAGCGTCGTCCATGATTGGCCAACTGCACAGCGTTGTAGCCACACGGCCAGCAGTCAGACTATCCAAAACTACCTCCTGTGCACCTTGTACCACCAGCAGTTGATTGCTGAACAATCACGACCAGTTAATACACATCAGGATCAGAAATGCTTTAGATTTTATTTATAAAGTTTATAACCACGGAATGACATCTATGATGTAATATCCTTGAATAGTTATACAAATACTCATTGAAGGAGTTGTAAGGTTGTTTTACCAGGCCTACCGTATATATGCCTTTAATTTCAATACATACTGATTTCAGAGTCAGAAATCCACAAATTCTAAAACTAAGACGTTATATATTAATCTGTTGGTTCTTTGGAAATACAGTACTGAACATATTGGTAAAGCATGGACAGTTTAAGAATGTGTTTAGTTCCTGAATAATCATTGGTGTTAATATGTTAAAGGCCTGTTTTCTTACATTTCAATATTTTAATACCATTTGAACTGAATAGGAGACTAAATAGTTAACCTTAAAATATTCTGCATAATCTTTCTTCTTAAGTTCAAGTAAAACAAATTCTACAGTTCAATTTATGAAAGTGTAATCTGTACTGGAACATACACAATTAGTTGATACACTTTAAGGTTGTAAAAGATGCAGTTCAATTTCACGATCAGCTTGCAATACATAGGCTACATGTCTTATGGGAGATAGTCCTGTAATATTCATTTTTGAAAACATCAAGCTCATATTGTCATAAAGTTCCATCTACCGTCCTTGTGACCCTGTCTGTGTGATCATGTAGGCGCTAAAGTATATTTTACTTTTTCCTGTACCCTTGTTCTTTTTTACTAAGATATTTTGGTATTTCAATTTAATGACCAATTCTTATTTTGATTTAACTTGAACTTAACTTTGAATATAGCCAAAACTAATAGTAAAAAGTGTGAAAAAAATCAAAAGTAATGCATGTTGAGTTTACTGATGTTTTGGAACGGTTAGTACTATATAGCTTAAACTTTAATTTTAAAAGCATAGCTTAAGCCATAATAATTATGGGCACCATGTAAGGCGAACGTGGAATGAAGTGTATATGTTTTGATTCATCTTTACGGTAAAACTTAGATTTAATTTTAAACTCCGAACTTACTTACTTCACTTACTTGCCACTGAATATCTCTGATTTTTTAAGGGGTAGATTCAAAGAGACCCACATAAATTTGTACCCTTTCAATTTAAAACTCCCAGCCACTGCTGTCGATGTATAAATCTTACTAACAACTTTTACTTCTGTCTTCTTATAGTAGGAGTCTACTCCCATTGACCCAACCATGTTTACAGCTACACTGGAAAACACAAAATAAAAATGACGTTACACACTTGTCCAAACAGTGTTGGTTTTGTAATTACCATATTCTAACAGTTTCTCCTGAAGAAGCCCCTTGTCCATAAAACATCAAATTAATTGTGTTGTAAGCTTTGTGTGTGCTGTCAACTGTTTGGAACTCATTTTTGGTTAAGTTAGTTGTATATTAATTCATTCTACCTTTGATGTAATCTTAAGCCAAGTGGTTTTTCTTTTAAAAAAACTAACTTATTCATATATGTGATTTTATATAGAATGTCAATAATTTGGACAAACAACACCGATTTAAGTTTTGTCTACTAGACAAATTATATTCTCCAATAGACTAATATCACTCTCTCAATTGTTGATTCAATAATTGCTACTTTTTACAAACCTCAAAATATATGACATTTAATTTTACCGAGGAGGCTGTTTGTAACAAGTGTATGATGACAAAAGTGAGGTAGAGAAAAACTTAAATCTGGAAGAAAGGTTTATGAACACAAATCAAAATGTATGGTTTTCGTAGTGTTGTCCCATCCCACAATGGAGGGACGTTAAGAAAGGGTCCACACCACGGCTGAATTGACCATTGTCTCGGCAGCCGAGTGGTTATATTGATCGTCTTCAAACCTGATGGCCACTGGTTCAATTCCATCAAGATCATTTTCAGACTCAGATGCAATTTTTTATTGGGCAGTCAATATGATGCTATCTGATCAAAGCTAGAGATCAACAAGACCAGTGTTTGCTACGATTCCTTACAAAACTGTAAAAAATTGTCAATGGTGTTGATAACATTAAAATAAAAAATATAGTCAGAGTACAAATGTCGTAAATTCTATCGAAACTCTGTATATCAATCATTATTTGATGAAAATAGTGGAAACATTTGCTTAAGGTCTAAATAATGTAAATAGTTCTCGTGTAAATAGTAGCTTTGATGTAAATAGTATAATTTCCAATAGTATCCTAATGAACGATCAAATCTGTAATTCTGATGTTGCACAGCTTCTCTCAAATGGCTTAAATAGTTTAAACTGCAATCTTTCCAAAAAACTTCCAAACACATAAAACAACAAAATCCTACTACCGCATCAATGTTCCGTCAAAACAATAAAAGTAAAACAAACTGCAATCAAACTGTCGGAGATGTGAATATTGATGTGTTGGAGGAATCAAAAAATAAAAAATTGTTGTTTAATGTTTTAAACTCTAACCATATAAAAGCATTGGTGAATTTCCCAACTAGAATTTGCAAAACAAAGAAGAGTGCAATTGATAATGTTTTTACTAATATAGCCAAGAGCAAAATAAAAGTCTCAGGAATAATTACTGAATTGTCTGACCATGATGCTCAGCTGTGTGTAATTACTGATAACAGTATAGAAATTTCAAAAATCCAAAAAACAATTGTAACATACCGTAGGAAATTTACTGATGATAGCATTGCTCAGTTTTGTAAACTATTAGAAAGTGAAAACTGGATTAATGTGTTTAATGCACCTGTTAATAATAAGTTTGTCATTTTCTTTGATATAATTAAGTATGATTTTGATGTTTGTTTTCCTAAGGTTAAAAGTAGATTAACCAGAGGAAATAGTAATTGGATTACAGATGATATTATAAATAAAAGAATAGATATTTTAGATTTGAGTAATACTGTTAGGAATGTTAAAGATAAATCATTTCAAAATATTCTGATAAAAAAAAGAAAGAACTAAAAAAAGAAGTCATTGAAACTAAATGTAATTATTATCATAGCTTATTGGAAAAATCACGAAATGTTAGTAAAACTACATGGGATATTGTAAATAGGAAAGTTGGAGCAAATCATAAACCAAGCCATGGTGAAAGTTTAAGTTTACCATATATTAAAGCCAATAACTGCACGGACGTTGAAGAAGTCTGTCATCTCTTTAATGATTACTATACAATGATGGTTGAAAATGACATATTGCCCAAACTAATATCTTCTACTGGTTCGAAAAATATTATTTCACCCTCCCAAAAATTGATATCAAAATTCAGTCTTTCACCAATTACTTATGAAGAGCTGGATAATATTATAACTTCTTTTGACAATAAATTTTCCACTGGCTGGGATGAAATACCAATGCCAATAATTAAACAGGCTCGTCTATATATATTATTACCATTACTACATGTTATAAACTCTTCTTTTATCTCTGGAATTTTCCCCGAAAAATTAAAAAAATCAAAAATTAAACCTTGTTATAAAAATGGTAACCCAGAAGAAGTGTGTAATTACAGACCTATCTCATTGTTATGCTCATTTTCAAAAATTTTTGAGCGAGTTGTGCATATACAACTTTCAAAATACTTAGAGGAAAATAATTTATTAGATAAGGAACAATATGGTTTTAGAGAAGGAAGGTCAGTGATTGACGCAGGAGTCGATTTCTGTGAATCTATAATTAATTCAATTGATTCAAAGGAAAAAGTAGTGGGAATATTCTTAGACTTAACAAAAGCCTTTGATAGTGTCTCACATGATTTACTTCTTGAAAAACTTAAATATAACGGTGTAAAAGGGAGAGCTTGGCGTTGGTTTGAATCTTATCTTACAGGCAGGCAGCAGTATGTCACAATTGATCACGTAAATAGCCATAATCAATTGATTACTTACACTTCCTCAACGAAAATTGTTAAGTATGGTGTCCCTCAAGGATCAATATTGGGGCCCTTATTATTCTTAATTTACTTAACTGACTTCCCCTCATTGATAGAATCTCCCAATCGTGTTTGTTTATTTGCTGATGACATCAATATAAAAATATCCGGAAATTCAAATGCTGATGTGGAAGTCTCTTCTTTTGTTGAGCTTACCAAATGTAACCAATATTTAAATGAAATCAATTTATTACCGAATACAATAAAAACTAATTATATAAACTTTTCTTCAACGAGCAAAAATTCACCTGAATTTAATATTTTTATGGATACAATTTTACTAAATGAAGTTAAAACAATAAAATTTCTTGGATTGCATATAGATGATAAATTCAACTGGGACAGTCATGTTGAAAACGTTTGTAATAAAGTCAACTCAGGCATACATGCATTAAGACAGATGTCAAAATTTAGTAGTTTAAAAACCTTAAAAATAGTATATCATTCCTTAATTGAATCACATATTTCTTTTGGGTTGTGTCTTTATGGGGGCACATCAAATTTTAACCTAAATAGCATTCTGGAACTTCAAAAAAAAACAATTCGCATTATGTTAAAACTAAAGTCAAGAACATCCGCAAAAGAGCAGTTTAAAGAAATAGGAATTATGACTGTTTTTAGCTTATACATTTATCAAATAGCCCTTTATATTAAATCAAACCATGAAAGATTGCCAAAATTGAACTCTTTTCATACATATTCAACCAGAAAAGGTAATGAATTGGCGTTCAACAGACATAATTTATCGGTTTATGAAAAAATTCCATCTTATAGTGGTGTTAAATATTTCAATAGCTTACCTGACAATATAAAAAATATAAGTAATTTTAATTCATTTAAAAAACGTTTGAAATTATTTCTCACCAACAGACCCTTGTATAAATTAGAAGATTTTTTCCAACTTCCTGAAATTTGATTTTTTTATAATAATAATATTCTTTGTAAGTAGTCTTAAGTTTAATATTGTGTTTTTATAACTGACTCCATTCTGTACAAAATGTACAATATGAATAAAGTTATTTTGATTGATTGATTGATTGAAGGTACTTTGACTCAAGCAACTAGTTTTGGCATAGAATTACCATCCTCAAGCCATGAGAACATTTGTCAGCTGTAGTCATCTGCTAAAAACCATCTGTTTTAATTTGAAGACCATCATTGTTACTATGCTGGAAAAGTGACAGTCTTGATCAGCAGTTAACTTCAATAGACAAATTCTCTTGCACAGCCTAAGGTTGGCATCAAGTTTGTGCCAAAACTACTTTAGAGGATTCCCAAAGTTTAGACCATTTTTATATTTATTGGTAATTTGGAGGCTACAATATTAATACCATAATGGATGTGTGTTTTTAACCACCTTCGAGTCTACTGAGTAACAAAAGACTGAAAATCTTACCTTCTGTGTCAAATTATGAATAGTTGAAGTCTTTAAGCAATTACCTACTCAGAAATAATGTTTACCTTGGTATCAGCTTTCCATCAAGGTCAAACTGGCCTTCTGCAGTGAATGCAGTTGCGTTAATGAAGCCAGCCAAGTCAAACTTCACCGTGGACGTAATGATGGCATCAGTGTTCATGGGTAAACCATTCGCTAGTGGTGTGACATATCTTGCATCACATACCAAGACAGATTTTTCTATCTTTATTTCCTATAAGCAAAATATAATTTTGGAAAACATTTGTTGAATAGAGACCAGACAATAATAAAAGACAAATAATGATGACAATGGATACATTTGCAGTATAGTATAGCTTCATAGTTGTCAGTTTTAAAAGGTACGGTATAAGAGTAAACCTCCCTTTTAAATATCTATTTACCATGTCATCCACTCTTAGTTGCATGTTTGCAAATCTTTATTCTATTATTTGAGTATTAATTAATATTGAAAATGCTGAAAATATCGAATTCTGAAATTATTTAATGATTTTATCAACCATAATTTTGAATTTCTGAAGTACTTTTACTACTCACTTGGCCACTGAGAAAATCCTTTATGATCTTGATGGGGTTCAAGTTATTCAAAAGCAAGTTGATTTCTTCCTTCTCGGTTACTCTTGAATATTGTATTTCATTCCCAAACATTCTGATTGACAGAGATGCCTGAAACACATTAAATTATTGTTCTTAAATTTTACTCACATAACGAGTTTAACAGTAAAACATAATTGTAAGATCCTATTAACATTGATGAGCAAAACTAATAATGGACCAAATATTCATCAGGGGCATGGCACCCGGTTCGATGAAAAAATTTATAAATCTTTCAGTTGTCAATTAAGAACCAGAAAGTAATAAATAGGTTTGCTCTTGATTTATCTTTAAAGGTTTATCCTGCTTCAACAACTTTGACCACACAAATTTATTTGATACCCAGGCTTATTCAATTTATTTGACTATTTTCAAGTCATACTTTAGCTTCAGGGTAAGGTCTTCATTTTCTCTGTAATGGTAATTTAATCCTCGTAACATAATATTTGATAAAAACTATTAACGTTTAAAAAAATAATTTTAATATTTAATAAAAATCACTTAGGAGTGAGCATACACATTTTTAAACAAAATTATTTATTTACCTTTGGAACAGAAAACGTTTCTGCAATAACATTTGGTAAACCATCAAGTTTAGATTTCAATGTGGACTGGGAACTCCTGAGGAACCTAAAAGCACTCGTAAACCTTTCAAACTTGCTGAGGATACCATTTTTCCAAAATAACGCTTCTACAAACTGTTCAAAACCTTGCAAATCTAGAGTTATCTGAAACATAAAATAATGGATTAAACAACTGAAAGCTTAAAGAAAGAAACAACAAAGTACACGTATATGTGAATGTAAATATATGTATGCAAATATATAGATATTTTAGTTACTTATTGTCTTCGCAGTGATAGGAGATGAGAACTCTTGCAGTATTAAGGCCTGCTCAGTCGGTCACTAGTTTTAAACCGTACACGTGTTTTTGTGTCATGTCTTGTGTTGTGTTTTAAATGTCATTGACTCAATGAAAAGGAAGAAATTTTGTGTAAAATGTAAATACAATAATAGTTTATAGCTTAGAGTACCACACTATGCACTTATTAATGATGGAGTAATCCCCAAAACGACCATAGTGCAATAACACATCTGAATTGCGAAGACAAGTAAGTATAACTATATGTCTACCTTTATGATGTGGCCAGGTATTTATTTGCCTTTTTCTCTGATCTCAGCTGTAACTACAGTACAGCCCCGATAATCCGTCATCCACGGGACCGGGACCATGGTTGAAACAGTGAAGAGGTTGGATTATTCGGGGGCATAGTAAATAGTCAAGTTAATTGACATTTATTGATTGCCCATGATGGCAGGAGACAACAATTATTTTTCCTGAATAATTTGACACAGTCGTGGGAAATGTGATGATGATGTTTCCGTGATCGCAGGTTGAACAAGATTCTTGCCGAGATTGCAGAAGACGGTGATGATCTCCACTCGACCATGGAAAATATTCACGATATATTGCAATAATATTGTCACTGATAGGTGATCGCACGGTCGGATTAAACGAGTAGTCGGACTAGTTAAGGTTGGATATGCGGGGTTCTCCAGTATTGCATTTCAGGAGTTTCATTTTACTTTTAAGCTAAATATATTCAAAGATGACAACATTCACCTGGTTCTCCAGCTTTGGAGATAAATATGATGTTATTGCCAATGTGAGGAAACAAGTAACTGACAATTGTCTTTAAAAAATTTAAAATTTTTTTAGGTTTAAAAACTTTAAACTTTATTTTTAAATAGGCATAAGCGTCAATGTCTATTTGGATGTCGCCCAAAAGTTAAAATAAAAAAGGGATAGGGAGTGTGCTCCTAATGCTTCCTGAGTGAGCAGGATCACATAACTAGGGCAGGCAACATAACAAAATTGATTTAAACTTTTGGCACTTGTTAATACATTTCTACACTAAATAAACATGAGAAATCACTGCTTGGTGCATAATTATTTTTTGTACTCCAAAAGGTGGTGCTGAGATATCCCTGAACATCAAGAACAGTGGATATATGCAACTCATCCTTACAAATATAACTCACATTATAAATCAAGAATAAAAGTAGTTGTACTATTTATTGAACAAGATGTTTATAGAAAAGAACATTATACAGGGTTTTCACACAATAAGGGTGGGGTTTTGACTGTATGTAAAACTATTATAAGACTGTTATAAACAGATTTGTGTGCATTAATGCTAATGTTAATGTTAATAAATTAATTAACAGCTGTGTTGATTGTTGTTCTAATCGACAACCTACTACTTATTCTTTTAAATAAACGTCAAGTTGTCTTTTTTTACAAACATTACAAACAGATTAGGCTAAATGTGTAATTTTACTAAGTCAGTGACTCTAGTACAATGGGCATTTATAAGTACATTTAACAAAGCTCTCATGAAAATAACATTCGTCGTTGGAGTAAACAGTTCATAAACACTGGGTCAGTTAAAAAGCAAAGTCTGGTAGACCACCAGTCTCGAACCAGACAGTTGAAAACATAAGACCAACTTGTGTTAGAAATCCCCCTCTTGCCGTAGTTACCTCAACATAATGGAATGGAAAATGAAAACAGACTTCATTTCCAGCAGGATGCAGCCCCCCCTCCAAATTATAAAACCATTCTTAGAGACGCCTTAAATGTTAAGTTCCCAAACAGGTGGATTGCAGATGTGGCCCCATAGCATAGCCTCCAAGAAGCCCGGACCTTTCTCTATGCAATTTTTTCTTTGGGTAGGCCTATATGTCCAAATTCCAAATTATTCCCACTGAGAGAAAGAACCAGAGATGTAGTGTCCACTGTAACAAGAGAGATGTCGCACAAAGTTTGGGCTGAAATAGATCATCGTCTGGACATCTGTAGAGCAAGAAATGACCGTGTTGTGTCTTCAATATATGGTGTGTAAAATCTTTTTGATGTCAGGAATTTAACAAAATAAATAGTTTTTTTTTTGTATCTTTTCTTGTTTAATTTCATTATTAAACCCCACCATTAATTTATGAAAACCCTGTATGGTAATTTTTAACAGGACTTATAGTCTAAAGGTCATACGCAGAGGGCGTGGAAGTAGCGTCATACTAGCCCAAAGCCCAAACCAGCTGGTGACTGTACAAACCTCAACCAGTTTCTCTACAGAGTCGACGGAAATATTCACTTCATGTACATAGCATCTACAACCATTGTCCGGATATACCTGTAACTCATCTGGGATGGGTTAAAGTTGTAATTATCAAATCTGTGAAAGCAGTCAAACCTTGGTTGCAGGATGATAAATACAAACTTATTATTAAATTACCCTTGTTATTGTTTTTAAAGGGATTTTGCCAAAGCACTGTGAACATGTGCTTTATTAGAACATTTTTTACTCTTCTAAGTTTTCAAAATTAATTTACGACTTCAGTAAGTCATGAACAGATTTATTTAACTTACTTCAGCTACATTGACATGTTCACCGAAGAGAACGATGGTGATGTTGGTGGAGATGGATCTCGGTATGTAGGATTTGTGAGAAAATATTACATTGCTGACAGAAAATCCTCCTGCATCAGAAATCAAAATTAATAATAAACACTGTGTCACATAAAACTGTACCTAAACAAATATCAAATATCTTTACAATGCTAGACCAATTAAGATTAAAGAATGTTTCTACATTTCCCCATTGCCATAATCAATTCCAGAGTGTGACAAACTAAATTTTGTGAAAAACTACTCATTATTTACTAATTCTCATATACCAGTTATCTCTCAAAGAGGTCACAGTTTTTTTTAGTAATGAATGCAATAATAAATAAATAAATCAGACGTATTGAACATTACACGCTTGAAACTGTGTTCATGATACCTCCAAGTCTCATTTGACTCTAATTACTTAAAAAAATGTATATTATTAATTAACTAAAACAGAGGCCTCTTCATTGGATACCTGATATGTGACTTTAAACCAACAATATAAACTAACATAACTTCTTAACTGGCATGATCCATGTTGGTGCTATAAAGGGATATGAAATAAAATAATAAACAACATCTTGCAACACTGCTCAGTATACACTTTTTGTACACTAAAACTGTAAAATTTGTAAAAAAAAGTCTTTGGTTCAGCTTGATGAATTCCGCTGTGACTTGTCAAAATTGATAGAAAATAAAATTATACATAACATAAATATTTATAATTTTGTAGAACATTTTATATTGTAAGTGTAAATACATAGAGTAAGTATTGTTTAAAAATGTCTTTTATGATAACTGCATAAAAGAAACTTGCAGAAACATCACAGACTCCACTTGTGAAGTAACCAAAACTGAAGACTGGTCCTAACTACACTAACCAACCACCACATCTCTAAACAAATATGTCTCTTTATGTGTAAAATCTAGGAAATTGTCTATGATCACAAAGACATTTTGTGGTTATTTCATATTGGGAACTCAATACCCTCAAATGTTTTTAAATTTTTTTAGTTACCAGGCGCCAAGATTAATCCAGAATTTCAAGATTTTGTCTTCCAATTGATAATGACAAGCATTTCATAGTTTTGGTAAATAATGAATAAAAAAATAAAAAAATTGACTGCCAAGGCTACTTGTCATACAATCTGTAAATGGTAAAAATGCCTTTGGGAATTCTTAACATTTTTGGCATGATCGGCATGCCAATTTCGGGCATTATTCTTTGTGCTTTTGGCAATGATATTTTTTCTAACATTGTGTTATGTGGCAAACACATATTAGAAGATATAAGATTTTAAGGATATCATATTGTCCTTTGTTGCAGTTCTAAGGACTCATAATTTAGTTTTCATTGTCATAATTTGATAAATATGAAGAGACATATTGTGTATAATTTGTTGCAAGAATGTAGTAGGATGCATTCATTGACAAAGGAACCAAGAGAATAATAAACAAGTATCTACTTAACACATGTATCTGATTTTTGACACTAAAATATACATACCAACGCCATATTCATTTATGTAAAACGATGACTCATAATTTCTTGAAAATTTTAAATAGGGTTTGTCAAACTTGGCTGAAAATTCACTATTTTGCAACATTGCCTGTATTTCCATTCGAGATGGCATCGCAGAAACCTTTAAGTTGTGTAAATGACTCCATACAAATGATCCAACTGGAAAGTAAAAATAAGTCATAAAAAATAAATATTAAATCATAAAAACAAATGGCTAACATCAAATCAGTCAATATATTCTAATCTTATATACGCCTACTACTTACAAACTCAAATTCTTTATTTACTCATAATATCTTACAATGGACAAAGAACAAAGACTAGGGTGTCATTGCTATATAACTTAACCTACAAATACATTACCACCAAAATATTCTACATAAACAAGATTTGACATCTCGACATCTCACTTCATTGATTATGTGAATATTTGCAAGAATCCCTTAACTTATGAAAGTGATTAGTAAAGTGATTAGTGATTAGTAGAAAGTAATTACTTGTATGTGAGAATGGGTACATTTTGATAAGTAAGTTTATATTTTGAGTAAAAGCTGGATTTCGTATTTCACAATTTTCTTAAAATCATACAGAGAGTAATAAAAAATATTTAGGTATAAAAAAATAACATCAGACAATTTTTACAAAGTATGGTGTATCATAACTTTAGATCTCTCAGAACAAAGGGGTCCAGATGTTAAAAGGACCCCGCCTAACTATTTTTGGAGACAGCACTGAACTTTTCACTGACTAAATCAATAGTTTTTATTTACTCCCTGTGACCTAAAAAAGTAACACCACTATACACATAACTGAATTGTACCATAGACTATTGGATAGGTACTGGAGTAGACATTCCATCTATATGGACCAGCTGTCACCCAGAACATAGTTGAATGAGCCACACTACAACCTACGGTTATATTTTCTCCATTAGCCCTTAGCTAAAGCCACTACGTGTGGCCACGAGATCCGTAACTTGACAAGTTATATATATACACAAAGCGACGCGCCTATACTGATCTTTAACCTAACATATAACTGTAAACTTGGTCATCATTGGGAATCAATATGTACACTCGTATTTAATAACAACTTTATTATGTAAATATTATGACGTTTATAACAATTAAACTATTTAATATTCTTAAAAATAATAAAATAACAAATCAACTTTTATGTTTGAAACTGATTTAAAACCAATGAAAATGGTTCATTTAATAAAACTACAAATCCAAATATATTTACAAGTTACAGTATTATGATTATTGTACAGTATTATGCAAATTACCAGCTTTATATGAATTTAGTGATAAGTAGAAAGAACATAGATAATATATCATTTTAATTTCAAAGCTTAGTACGTAAGAGGAAAACAAGTAAGTAAGAAAACAAAATAATATAAAGTTGTATTATATATTAAAACCGTTAAAATAAAATGCTGATCTTCCTCCACAACTTAAAATTCCAACAATATGGAAAGATCGTCATCTTTGTTGACTTGTAATAAATCATGTATAGTATCGGATGCTAGGTCTCTATTTGAGGCCATTTAAAATCATAAATATCAATTTATTAAAACTTAAAAGGCTTTAAAAAGACTATTGCAAAACACAAGCTGATAACTCACTCAGGAAAAATGTGACAGTACTACGCCTAAGATCGAAAATTTATGGAAAACTACAGGGAACAACAAAGGGCACTCTAAAATTATTCAGGTGGTACATAGCGATGTGTTGGACCTGCCTTAAGACCATATGTCCAAAAAATACTAATTTGGAAAGCTTTTTAAAGTAGGGAGGACCAGATAGGGAGGAATGGCTTGGGCATATCCCCGCAGGTGATTTGAATGCTACACCAATGGTTCAAAGATAAAAAAAGAGCACCGGAACAGGTGTGCTTTGGAAAAGAGAAGGCATTGGTGGTAGCCTTCCCATGGGAGTGTACCCAACAGTTTTACAAGCGGAGGTCACTGCTATCTTGGTTTGTGCTCGAGAAAATCTGAACAAAGAGATCAGAGACAAAACAATTAACTAACTATTAATTATCAATTAACTATTAATAATTAAACTAATTATTAACTAATTATTAATTAGTTATTATTAATTAACTATACTGATAGTCAAGCTACCTTAAAAGCTACAAATTCAACTCAAGGCTCGTGTGAGATTGTCTTGCTTCTGTGTCTGAATTGGGTAGGAGGAATGATCTTACGCTTTGCTGGGTGCCTGGACACTCAGGCATCGAAGGAAATGAAGCTGCGGACAGATTGGCAAATGCTGCCTCAGCGGCATCAATAATTGGTTCACAACCTTTCTGTGGCATTTCACGAAAAAGTGTGTGCTCCTCTACTGAGTCATGGGCCAATAAAAAGCACCAAAAACTTTGGGTTGATACTCCCCTTCTTAGAGTCAGCCAGCTTACTCTGTTTAGGCTTTCCAAATGGGTTGCCTCTGAGTCCTCTGACTTCTTGAGGCTAGACAGGCGAAGAATCAAATTAACAGTGGAACTGATAACTGGCCATGAAACATAACTAACGATAACTGATGATAACTGGCGATTCAAGAAACATTTACAACGGATGGGTTAGTTTGATGGAGAACCGATCCGTAGCACTGCGGTAGGTCAGAGGAGACAGTCAATCACCTGCTCTATGATTGTGATAAGCTCTCTGACACTAGAAAGATAACTATGGCAATTTGGTAAGAAGTAGATACCTTCCCGAGGAGGAACTAATTGGAAGACTACAGGCTTTCATCGGATGCCTGAATTTGTAGGGTCTATCAATGAAACAACTGTCTGGGGTGGGCAATAATTCAACTTGCCCCTGTATGGTCTCGGCCTGCCCCTGTTAGATAAGATAAGATAAGGTAATGTGACAATATTTATTTTTATAAGCTCATAAAAACAACGGCTTGTTGTTGTCTCCAGATAATTCCGATGATTGTCGAGGGAGCGCAGCACCTCCCAAGCGGAGAGAATTGAAAAAAATACAATGCTAAATATTATGAAGAGAAAAAGGGGGCCACTATGGGGTGGACAGCCGAGCTGAACAGGAATCGCGTAGAGGGCCACTATGCTTGGCCGGCACGAGCTGCGGGGCTACCTTCAGCGCTGACAATATCGCATCATTAACAAAATGAGAGGGCCACGAAGTGTGGCCATCCTGAATCATAGGGACGGAAAAGAGAACGATAAATATGACTGCAAAGGGTTAGTTGTGTTACTGAGATAGATATGATAAAGGGTTCTATTTTTACAACCAGTTGTCCAATCAGTTGGACTTGGTCGTCGGTGGCTCAATTCAACTACGTTCATTATGATTCTGAAACTGGCGACAACTTTGACATGGGGATGGAATAACTAGTTGATTGTATCAATAGTCAAAGATAGTAGTCAAAACCAAAAATTCTATTAAAAAAATGTAGTACAAATAGTGTGTAGGCAAAATACAATGGACATATCTGAAAGCCACCATTTTGTACAGACATGTCCATTTTTTTGTGGTCGCAGGATTACCGAAATCGCGTAGACTGCAGGCTACGCTTGCAGGTGTTATAGTGGTCGCAGGAGACGGTTACTGAACTCGCGGAGACTGCAGGTCAGGCCCACGGCTGTTGCTGCAGTGGCGGGAGACGATTACTGAAGTCGCAGAAGATGATTATCGAAATCGCGGAGACTGCAATTTATGCTCCTCCCGATATTTGTCCTTTCGCCCAATCCGACCTTGCCCCGGTCTTGTCATGGTCGGATATGAGGGGTTCTACTGTATTTTAATAAACTAAAATAAGCACCTCTTGAGCAAATAACAATTCATTTTTATTATTTTTTTAGTTGAAAAATTTAAACTATACAATTTCACTGTAACCATTTCTAAAACAACTAAAAACCAACTCTATACATGAAAAATTGGAAAGGATTAACATGTAACCATTCCATTCACATACAAAAGTTGACACATTACCTTGGTTGTTCTCTTCACTAGCTAAAACTTCCTTTATTGCACGTATAGCCTGATGGGTTGGACATTTGATTGCCTCCAAATATGCCTTTATTCTGACTTCCTCTTCATTAGTTTGGTTTCGATAGATATTCAATAAGAAATCTTGATTTATGCCACATGGCAAATGTCTGGAAACAATAAGACATACTAATGGATTAAAAATAAATGGTACTATTTAAATGGGCATTTATAAACAAAAAAAAATTTTTTAAAGAATTTAAATTCAAACGAATATAGATCTTTATTTATGGAAGCGTGTTAAGGGAAACGAATGGAGGTTGTGAATCAATATAAGTATTGGGGAATATTATTAACTACAAAACTATCGTGTGAAAGTCATTTGAAAGAAAAATCTGTAGCTGCAAAATTTGCCATGAATTCATTGAGGCGAGATTTTTTTAACAATGGAAAGTTCCATTGAGCTCCAAGGTTTTTTCTTTTAATTCATTGATAAGATCAATAATGTGTTACGGAAGCCAAGTTTGGAGTTTTAAAGAGAGTCAACAGGTTGAGGGAATCTTGAAATTATTTATCTATAAAATATTTTGCCTTCAAAAAAATGTGCCAAATTATATTTTGCATTTAGAGACAGGAATAGAAAATATGTATTTTTATACCTTAATGTCAAATGTCAGTTATATAATACAATCTTTCTTGCTTCTGGCAAACAGATTTACAAACATTTTTGCCAAGCAAGTTATTTTTAAAAACGGAGCCTGGGCTCTCAGAATGGAGGAATTTAGGTCAAATGCATGGTATTATCATGAACTTTAATATTGAATGTTTAGGATCAATGCAGGATCAGCTGATAAGAGTTGTAGAGTCGGTTAGGACGGCGACCAAGCAGGCCTGGAATCAAGCCGCGCTGGAATGTCGTTATCACCACATTTATAGATCACTTGACTTAAATCTCTGACATCGGTCTTATCTTTCAGATATTATTAGTATGAATGTACAGCATTGGATTTTCAAGGCAAGAGCTGAGGCAATACATCTAAATTATAAACCTTGGATTTTAGAGCAGGATCTAAACATACCTTATGTTATACTAAAGAAAACCCAGGCTAGTAAGGAAATCATGAGCTTGTACTGAAATTGCCTTGTACAATTCGGAACCTGCCAATCACTAAATTCCAAAAGAGGGTGAGGGAGTTCTATGAATCATTACGGTTTAGTGTAAGACATGGTGGCTTCCTACGAGGAGCCTAAGTTTGTAAGGATTATTTTTCGTTTAATAAAGCACTGTTTTCATTTCATTTCA